CTTCCTTGCTCTGTTCTAGCTGAAGATACACTGTAACCAAATGTCTGCTACTTACCCTGGCTGCAGTTTTATTTTATATGTTTATTTGTTAGCTATACATAGTTTTTCTCTTCTGTCAGAAGGCAGGTGACAGGAAGATATCAACCTGTTTATTTTAAGAAACCATGACTCTCCTGACACTGAAAAGTGTGCTCACAAAACAAAAACACACATTCTGTATAATGGTGGAAGAATAGATACATACGTATATGTGTTTTATGTTTTTGAATGGGATTTTCTGCAACATGTTTTAAAATTTACATTTTATTTATTTATTTATTTAAATTAAATAAGGATTCTTAATGGTCAAGAATAAGGGAGATCTATGAGGCCTGGTTCACACCTGGGCGTTTTACAGCGCGTAGACGCGCTGTAAAATGCTCTGCATGTGAAAACCAATAATTGCCTATGGGCATGGTTCCCACCTGGGCGTATTTCAGCGCGTAGGAACGCGCTGGAAAATGCCCTACGCCCCAAGAAGTACAGGAGCTTCTTTGGGGCATATTTTCCACGCATATCCATTAGGATACAGCTGGATAGCCTTCGTAAACGCACATTTGTTGCGCGTTTCTTTTACCGCAAATCACGGTAAAACCGCGCAGCATGAAACGCACATATTCCGTACGCCCAGCTGAACCCAGCCTTACAGCTACAGCATCCTGCCTGTAACATGAACTTTCCTGCCTGTTTTAAGTGACATTAAAGGCAAAAAATCCCCCCCATGCTAGTGTAAGGTTTTACCTTAAATGATGCCTCTTGATCCAATCTTCTTTTTTTCCTGTAGTTTTCAGGAGTCCCTCCAGAGCTGGTGCTGGTCTCTGATCCAGCGTTGACTCCTGTCTCTTCCTGTCCCACAAAGTCTATGCGGGTGCACGCTGCCTGCATTGACTTACCTTGTGTCAGGGGGGGCTTTAATTATCCTTTAAAGTCATAACTCAGTGTGAAATCAGGAGTTAAATCTTAAAAATACATTCAAGTACCTTAACTATTAACAAAAATGTATCCTTATTAGTGTATCACTCAACTGTAGACCCTCAAATCATCTCTGAATTGGTGCTGACACTGTCCTTCCTTCTGGAGGGTGGCTACTTTTGTTCCCCATGGTCCCTGTGTGTGTTGTAAAGTAGGCACCGCTCCAAGCCCACTCCTGTGATAGACTACAATGTCATGTTTAGTTTATTAATTAGTAGAGCATGTAGTGGTGGCTACTTTACAACACATTTACTTTACAACATTTAAAAAATGTTTGGATGCTGCTAACCAGAAATGTGCTGTAGGTGTTCTGGCTTCTTGAATGACATTTCTCTATTGAGACTTTTTTCCATAACTAAAGGTACCCAGAGATATTAAATGACATTCTCCCAATACATTTTTTAGGCATTTTGGTTGGCAATCATTCTCTAGGGCGGGTTACAAAACGTTGACCAGTCTCTGTGCTGGTTTTTCTAGAGCAGGGACTGTCTGCAAGTGCCTCCACTCCCTCTTCTATTGCCCAAGAGGAGCGTTCATATGACTAGAACGCTCCTATTTGTGGAGTAGCTGGCCCAGGAGACATAATAAGATCATGTATGTATAGCCAACAGCATTCCAATGTCTATGGCCTGCTGTACAGTGAGGCAACCAAAATGCCCTACAGCACATATTTTGCTCTATTGTCTATGTTTTTGTGAAATAAGCTATGTTCCTCCTATGTTCCGTGTTTTAGCAATAAGATCTAGCCTAAGAGGCTGAGTCACTTCTATCATGTCAAAGCTGCCTTTCCCAACCTTTTTACCCCAGAGAAACCCTTGAAAAATGTTTTTCCAGGTTTAGAGAACCCCTGCTAAAACTAATTCATTGAGGGGTCAGTGGGGAGATTGCACCTTACATTGGTGGCTAGTAGGAAGAATGCCATCCATACAGACTGCTAAAAATATCTTTGGTGTCATGCAGCAGTGCTTTGGCCTTGGAACTATGCAAGCACCATCAAATGAAAAAAAAAAAAAAAAAATTTCATAAAAATGTACTATGTAAATTATATTGAATTTAAGTGTAATACAAATATATTTAAACAAAAAAAAGCACCATCAAATGGAAGTTCAATTAGCCACCGCTCAAGGAACCCCTAGCAACTTCAGAAGGAACCCTAGACTTCTATGTAACCCTGGTTGAGAATGACTGACTGCATCACATAATTGGATTTGTGTTTTCTAATAATAAAAAATTCAAGTAAAATATAAGGCCTGATGAAGCAGGTAGATACACTGATAACGGGACTTTAAAAGGAGACATAGTATATTATAATGTTACCTTTTTTTATAATAGTACAAGACAGTATACTGTATAGGTAATGGTGAGAGGGGACTAAAGGAATCAAAATGCCATCCGGCCAATTTAGCGCATAGTACAGTAAAGCTTCCTTATAACAGAAGTCTCATTTACATCTCACATGTCTCCTTCATTTTAGCCACCATTAGTCAATTCTAAAATACAAAAAAAATATGGAACAAAGAGATGTGGGTGGCTCTAGCTGACAAAGAGACAATAAATAAAGAAATATGACAATTTTATCATGTTGAATTTCATTTCTAATAATATAACAAATGCAAGTACAACATGGGGCATAGTGAAGCAGGTGGATATATGTGATAAAAGGGTCATTTTAAAGAGAACTATGGGGTAACTTTTATTCCATAGTTCTCTTTAGGGTCACAAGAGAGCATTTATTAACATCCTCCTGTGACCCAAAACTCCGTATAACTTCCTTCCTTCCTTCCCTCCCTAATTTAAAGGCCCTGTTGTCTTTTACATTTTGTTTACTGACTTTAAGTTCCTTTTGTCTACCTCGTTCTGAGGTGTCTCTTTTATGCAGTTGATTTTCCAACCACCTCACCATAAATCATCAATACTGTGCCACGAGTCATCATGGGTTTTTTTAAAAGGGAAATTAATGTAAACCCTTGTATGGCTTTGGACTCATGATAATTGTAACTACAGCACTGTCAAGTCAATTGTCATGGGTGCTTATAACCAGTATAGCAGCTCACATTGACTAGTCGGCAATCCCACTAACAGTCATAAGACAGCGGCAATAGTTTATATCAATGCTGTGCAGTCGAGAATTCTCATGCTTTATTGGAGTCTATAGACATTCGGAATACTTTTTAGTAAACTGTAGATGCATGGATCAACAAAACTCATGCTTTACCTGTCAGCACCAGGAAGCTTCATTCTGGTCTTACTAACCTAAAATGGGACGAATTTATCTAAACATCTAGAATAATCCAAAAAATATGTATGAGCATATAACATTTGCACTGAATGAGGCTTATGTGATGGAGTATGTTTGGCCAAATGCCTGTAAGACTGAGTCACATGTCAGTGAGTCACTGCTATAATCCTCCACCTAGACTGCAAACATTTGGGGAGATGTCAGCACCGGTATTTCTGACTGTGCTGGAGCAATGTAAAAGTGGCCTCATGCGTTACACCTGTTTAATGAAGATAAAAGGAAAGTGCCATCGCCCACATTCTTCAGTCACAGCCTGCTTTTGAGTCCTTTTTGTTTTACTGTGTTGATACAACTCATAATCCCAGTTTATTACCTCTCTATTAAGAACGCAAGCAGCGTGCAATCATTGGCAATTAACGCATTCAACAAACAGTTTACCTTCAGCAGAAGGTTTGGTTTTCTAGACAAGACTTGTATAAATAAGCAAATAAAAGTAATTCACCGGCACACACTTGAAGGGTTTTTAAAGTATTGATGTTTATTCAATACCCAATGTCGCATACTGTCATACGGCGCTAACGTTTCGGATCCGCCCAGGGATCCTTCATCAGAGCGTCACTGTCGCTCTGATGACGGATCCCTGTGCGGACCCGAAACGTTAGCACTGTATGACAGTATGTGACATTGAGTGTTGAATTAACATATGAATACTTTAAAAACCCTTCAAGTGTGTTCCGGTGAATTACTTTTATTTACTATCAGTGTTTTGCACGGCGCCATCCGTGTGGTCACCTGGGCACCACATATACCTTGTGGTTTTGAGACCGTGGCAGTGCGAATGGGATTTGGACTTTGTTGTATAAATAAGCTTCATTTGGAGTTGTTTTTACATGTGTTTATTTCCTGACGCCGCAGAAAAAGGTCTTTTTTTTTTTTTTTTTTTTATAAAGGTAGCATATGTGAATTGGAAACTTTGTTGATGGTAATATTAGATGCTTTATGTAAGAAGCGACCCTGCCTTTTCGAATTTCATGCATCTTTTATGTATTTTATGCAGGGTAGTAGAAGACTAAGAAAAATTTGTAATCTTGCCACTGTCCTAATTTCTAGAGATATATAAAGAACACAGAGTATCCAAAAGTGGAGAACGCCCTTAGTGACAGTGGCAGCAATAATATCCCCCTTTCTTCTATGGTGTCATTGACATTCAGGGCCCATTCACACTGGATCCATGCAAGTAACGCATGGTACCACGCAATACACCTACCATGCGAGTGGTGCAATGTGTTGCCATTCATTTGAATGGCACATCAAACACACCGCACGCAATGCAATCAATAGCGCCACTATACTGTGCATTGTCGTGCCATTAAAAAAAAAAGTAACGCATGCACTACTTTTTTCTTAATTCCACCACAATGCACATTATTGCGGTACTGTGCGCTACAGTGCAATCAATCACATTGCAGGCAGGAGGTGCATTTGGGATGCCATTCAAATGAATGGCAGCGCACCCACCGCACTGATAACACACAGTAGGTGCAATTAACGCATGCATATTGCTGTATGATTATCTCTCTATAAGATACAAAGTTATAATATTGTAAATTTCACTCCTTTTTTTTTTAATGGTTCTGAAATTGCTATTGCCATACTCGCACAGAGAGAATATGTCAAGATGAGTAATCTATGTATTTTGGTGTAGTTTTGTGCAGTTTTACATCTATATACTTCTTTTATTTTCTTGTAGTGATACAAGAGAACATCTGTGGAACTTGTACCAGGAAATCCAGGGGGTCCCTGTGCCCGGACTCCTTCAACAATATGAAAAGCTGATTGAAAACATGTCCTATGATTTCCGCACGCAGCGACTTAACACTGAAAAGTTAGAATCTATCCTCAAAAGGTTTGTGTATTTATGTTGTGGGGGGCAAGCTGGATAGAACCTGCTAATCTCTGGTACTGGACGGAGATCATGGCAACCAAACATACTATAATAAGAGGTCATCTGATGTGATGTCTCTGTTAAAAGGGGCATTTACTGGAATGTTGTGTTGAGAGCACAGCGTGAAAACAGGACATGGCTGACTGGAACTCTTTTTGATCTTTTATCTTGATTTGAACTGAACATTTTCTTCTTGCAAGAACAAACGATTACTTCTATCGTGTTTAATTGTCTACGTCATGCCATCATAGTCTATTTAGAATGTGTGACCAGGGGTTAGACTTTATTATTTTATTGTGTATCAGGCCTCTTTATAAAAATCTGATTTGTCTTGTGTTGAAAATCTTTGTTTACTTTAATGGTTTAATGTGCTGACGTTCTGTAAAATCCTTGTGACTATACCCGAGAAATGTGCTCTTTCATCCGTGAAGAAATGGAGCAGGGAACTGCATGAGAGGTATTATGATACTCATTAAGTTCAATGCTTTCACAGTGATGACATCTATTCCTTTCCTGCTGAGGATCTTCCACAGCTTTCATTTAAGTCGGTGATCCAGAACAATATGTTGCATCATTGCATTGACAATTCTGAACACAGAACTTGCAGGAAAAGATATTTTATCTTTAACACCTTTTTATTAAAACTTTTCCCATTCTCCCTTTTTGTCTTTACGGATGATAAATAATCCTAACAATAAATCAGGGCAGAATTCCAGGAGCTGGGCAGCCATTGCTCATTACATTTACAGCTGGTGCCTCTAACATTTGAGGGTTTTTTTAGTTATCAAGGAAGCTGGCTCCTTTAAAAAAAAAAAAAAAATCTTCCTGGATTGGACAGACTGGCTCTGAAATTCCATTTTAATTTGTCTGCCCCTGCACTAAAGCTTGCCATATGTCAGTAGAATGTCTTTAAATTTACTAATAGTTAATGAGGTCAAATCCACTTTTTTTTTCAACCACAGCGACAAAAAAAAAAAAAAATGAAGGCGCAGGATGGAAAATCTTTCTCAAACAAATGAAATTAAATGAAAAGCCAATGTGGTTTTCGTTCGAGAAATGCCATTCATAGCCAAAATCTAAATATTGTTTGCATATAACATTCAAATGACATTAGTCAGATCTCTGATGACATTATCGCATGTTCTGATGAGATTTTCCATATGAACGTTTGTGTGAAAATCTACCAGTGTGAAAATCTACCAGTGTATGACCAGCTTAAATCAGACTCCATTACTTCTCTAAAAAAAATGCTGAAAGCGACTCTGTCACTACAATAGAAATGGAAAACAAAATGTCCCCAGCAAAGAAGTGAATTCAGACTTGCCTCCCTTGCCACCGATTTACATTGCAAAGATACAGCTGCCTTAAAATTTTTACGGTTCCAGGTGTGCCGCTTTATAAATGACCCCCGAAGTGTCAGGCTGTAAGGCCATCCTGTTTCTTGCTTGAGCTCGGTACTAATAACAGACAGTCAAAAAAGACAGACAAAAAAGTATAACAATGGTACTATCAAGACTACATTAACCACTTCAAGACCAGGTGTTTAGACCCCCTTCCTGGCCAGGCCATTTTTCAGTGTTCAGCGCTGCAGTACTTTGACTGACATTTATTCCGTCATGCAACGCTGTACTGAAATGAATTTTATACCATTTTTTTAGGGACAGATAGAGCTTTCTTTTGGTGGTATTTAATCACCACTGAGGTTTTTATTTTTTATTATAATTAGGAAAAATTACAGAACTTTTTTTTTTTTTTTTATTTTCAAATAGGAATTGAGATTAAGAAAAAAATTTTTTTTTATATATAAATTATATATACACACACAGCATTGCTTTACATTTTTGCCCAAACACTTACAATTATCATGTTTCTGAACACCTGCTTCCAAGTCTCTCAGCTCAGCTTCCCTGAACTACCTGCCGAGTACAAAATCACAAAGGACAGTGCAGACTCCAGTAACTATTTATCTACTAGCTTGGAGAGAGGACCAGGGGGTAGGGGAGTAGCTTGATTTGCTGTGTATTGGTGTTTGTGGAGACACACACAGCTTGCTAGCACACACAAGGGTGACTGCATGGCACTCTGCTTGAGAAAGGAGTCACTCTAAAAACAAGAAGTCAGAACCAGTGCTCAGTGACCAGCTGATTCTGCAGGAAACTCAAACTTTTAAACCTCAAGAAGCAGCATCAGTTGAGAGTGATTTAATCAGCATTTGAAATAGCTTAAAGGAGAACTATGGGGTCAGTGTTTTTCCCCATAGTTCTCCTCAGGGTCACGGGAGGACATAAACTAGCGTCCTCCCGTTACCCTAAGCTCAGTATACCGCAAGCTACAGCTCGCGGTATACTGAGACCGCTGCAGCCGGGACGATCCCGACATTACTGTAAGATCCACCCAGCTGTGTGATTGACAGTGGGCTCTGCCTATCTAGAGGCAGAGCCAGCTGTACCCGCTCCCTCCCCCGTTCGTTCCTCCAGCCAGCTCTGGAGGATCGGAGCGGGGAGGGGGGGAAATCCCTGCAGGGAGCCGTAAATGACGGTCACGGCTCTCTGCAGGGACAGGATCGAGAAGTGAGCGAGCAATGGTATGTGTTCACTTACTTCCCGATCTATTGAGCCGACGTGTGAGAATTTTATTGTCACACGTTGGCTCGAACTATGAGGATGAGTGAAAATCACTCACCTCATAGTTCTTTTTTTAATATCACTTTGAAAGAATGTAAGTTGTCAGCCCTGAGCTCAAACTGGGGACAGGTCAGCCTCCATGAAAGCCTAACAGCCTGATATTCCTGCTCTGTCAGGGTGAGAACACAAGAAAATAACCGCACACGCAGCTACCCTGCAGCTACTGCACTTTGCTTTTTAAGCGTAAAGTGGAACCAAACCTGGCCCCCCCCCCCCCCCAACCAATTTGTTTTTTTATGAAAGCGTGAATGGAGACTAAGGATTTAACATTTTGGGGGTTTTTTTGTGTGCTTTTTATGTATTATGCATTTGTTGTGGCCAAGGAAAGTGAAATGAGGTATAGGATTCTAGGCGATGGGGCTTATGTGCTTGGTGCACAAAAATGCTTGTGACCAGCATTTTTCATGCACTCCTATTGAAGTCTATGGGGCCCACAAGACACTAAGGGCTAGTTCACACCAGCCACAGTGCGTTCCAGCCCGGCTCACTTTGTTTTGGGGCGTGAGGGGGTATAGCAGTGCATTGAAGCCAATGGCACCGCAGCCACGCCCTCCAGCTACAGTGCGATCGCCCGCACCAGAACGCGTGGCACAACAGTGCCTGCGTTCCGATCCGGTGCAGTCAGAAAAAAATAGCGCAGACACCAAAAGGATCGCCTGCACCTTTTTCAAAGTTGCACTGCAGCTCAATGCACAGGTGTAAACAGACCCTGTCGAAAATAACGGGATTCCTCTTGCCTTGCATTGTTATGCGAGGGCCTAAGCGCTTCAAATCACACAGGTGAAACCTGTCGCACTAAATGAAACATACTAATATTGTTTTCTGCAGTGTTTCATTGTTCTGCCTATTAGCACATGCGTAGTGTATGTGTCTAGTGAGAACTGTCACAATTACCAATTTGCTTATGTCGGCTCTCAACCAAACTTTAGGGTCCTCAAATGGCTGGTGTCATAGCTGATCACATGTGCAGCACCATAGCAACTGCAGATCTAAACAGAGGCTAAGATGGCGCTATCATCAGAGGAGTAGAGATTTAGATTATTACAATTATTATTCTTGACTAGTTCTATTTATTTCCCTTAATGTGCACCCTTTAATTTAACATATCCCTTAAATTTGATATGTAATCTGACCTTAATACTTAAAACATATACCCCAGCATCAACATTTGGGTTGTTACCCCCTGAATTCTAAACTTAACCCTAACACTTATCTTTAGGCCCCATTCACACTGCGCGATTCACAAATCGCGCGTTTGTAGCGCGATTTGCATTTTGCGCAATTTGTAGCGCGATATCGCGCAAATGCTTGCATTGAGCAAGCTGGAATCGCGGCAAAATCGGCTCCAAAAAGGGTCCTGCTGTAGCGACACATGACCCGCGACAGCAGAACCCTTTGCCCCATTGCAAAGCATTGAAGAGCGATATCGTGCGGTAAATAGCCGCGATATCGCGGGAGTTACCGCGCGATAAATCGCTCAATGTGAACGGGGCCTCAAAGTGATCCTAAACATAGGAGTAAATCGTAAAAATGCATTCAACTATTAACAAAAATGTATCTTATTTGTGCATCACTCAGCTGTAGGTCCTCAAATCATTTTACATTGTGATTTTTCCTAGGACTGAGGAGACGACAGCCATGCAAATGGGAGAACTTGAAGAAGAATTACAGCAGCATTTGGCCAAAGCTGAAAATCAAATTCGTGGAGAGGTGAGCCCAAGCCCCCGGTATGCTGCAAAAATATAATATTTAAGGCAACTGTTCTGTTTGTAAAGCTTTTTATGTAAACTGGTCCCAATATAGAATATTTTAGCAAATTTGTTAAATTTTGGGCCCCGTTCACACTTGCTGTGTGTGGGACCACGCTCCAAAGCATTCGCATTGTCGCGCGTTCTCTCATTGACACACTGGTGGCGCCTTTACTTTACAGAGGGGCATTGACGAGGCAGTGTGGCTTCCACATATTTTGCCAAAGTTAGGCAACTAAGACCTCTGATTTTTAACCTTAATAGTTAGACAGTAAAATGTTTTATATTCGTTGCAAAACATAGCAATATGGTTAATGGCTTAATCAGTAGGTCAAAGAGCAGTAGGAATCTAGAAAAGTCAGTGAAAGCTTACTTGTCTGTCACAACTAATCTGATTGGCTGCATGGGGTTATTATAACATTAATTTTGCCCTTCCTTAACCACTTCCAGAGCGCAATACTTCTATATACGGCGACCCACAGAAGTGGTTAAAACAAGAACATGGCTGTTAATGTACAAGCAATCTGACGTCTATACACCCGCCGGATCGTTTGTACGGTGCGGCGCTGTCCCCTTCAACAAACAACCTGCCTGGGACCGGCTTGGCGTGTCTCCCTGCAACGATCGGCGAGAGATTCAGCGGCTAGCTCCATTCAGGTATTCTGACAGCGGCTGCTGTCAGAATACAAAGGAAGCAGAGGGGGGATTTATCTGTCCATGCTTGTGAGTGTTGATGGAGGAATCTGTTCTATTTTTTTTCGTTCAGCCCGCAGATTGAATGAAAAAAATAGAACCGTGAATACCCGGCTGTAGGAATCCTTTCAACTTGGTCAGCTAGCAAACACATGCACCCTCCGATAAACATAGGTATGCCATGTGAGGTACCTCTGGAACACCACTTATCACTCATGATGATTCAGGCAGACATGACGGGAGAACAGTGAAAAGGGGACGTCACTCCCAGGACAAAGTAAGAATATTCCGTCCTTTACATCTCTTATAGGACGCAGCTGCACGTTAACCTGAACTTGCATATCCATGCGTCCTAGCATATGATGTACAGGCGGCTACACGCAGCAATAGGTAAAAAACAGTCACTCGCAAGGGGATCCATCCATCCAATACTTTACTTGCAAAAAGGCATAAAAAGCAGCAAACAAATACTTACATGTTTCCGCCCCCAACACTGGGCTTTAGTCGTAGCCAACACGCTATACACAGCACCTGTACCTCCCAAGCGGTGGGTTCCTGATCCCATTCTGTTTTTGATCCATGGTGAGGTTTGTTGTTTTTACAGATGTGATGTTTTAAATGGTTTTAAACACGGTGGTGTTTGTAATGGTAGAAGTTTACACAGATAATCTTTTTGTACTAAATTCAGATGACTGCGAAATACCATTACACCTACTACTTTTTCTTGGTTTTATTTATGTTTAACCCCTTCATGACTGAGGCCCTTTTTTCATTTTTTGCACCCATGTTATATTCCACATTTTATACCATATTTAGCATGCACATTCATTTCTCTGTGTATGAAAGGGAAAAACTTGCTGAATTTTTTATTTGTTTTTTTTTTCTTCAGCAACAGCAAAGACTTGAAGCTGCTCTACAGGAGTTACAAAGGAAACATGAGACTGAAAAGTCAGACCTGCAGGTCAGGATTGACAGGATGGCAAAGGTAACGTGTACTGTAAAAGACCAGCTCTTTTTTGTGTTTTCTTAAGAGAGCTATGGCCAAACCTCCTCCATTTTTGTTGGCTTTTAGTTCTCTTTTGGGTCACAGGAGGACATTCACTAATGTCCTCCTGTGACCCAAAACTCAGCATATAGCTGTATGGTGACAGCGGTGAGCCGTGCTGCAGCCAGGAAAGATCCTAACAATATCCTCTCTAGATCAAGAGCCAACTGTGCTTGGGGGGGGAATCCCAGCGGGGAGCGGTGGCTGACAGTCACCACTCTCTGCAGGGAGAAGCTGTGAGCTGAACGATCAGCAGTTTGTGATCTCTCAGTACTTGAGCTATAGAGCCAACGTGCGACAGCTGCAGTGTTACACATCGGCTCTAACTATAAGAATGAGTGCTTTTTCACTCTTCTCGTAGTTCTTCTTTTAATTTGCTACAGTTTTCAGTGAGGTCCTGGCTGACCAGGTGTGCTGGGATTTGTAGTTCTGGTGGCTAGCCACAGGTGGTCCATAAGACTGTTAATGAAATCCACGGACCCCTGAGTATTTAGTGGTTTTGATTACGTGAGCTTGTAACAATCTAACTAGAGTTCGGGTATCATTCCCAGCCACTGGAAATTACCATATAGCTGGCCTTACATGGAGGTATCTAAATATTCTCATACAAGTTCTGACCTTCCCTTTAAATACAGGTGAAACTCGAATAATTAGAATATCGTGCAAAAGTAATTGCAGTAAGTGCTGCAAAACGGGCCCAAACCAAGTACTGAGTACATATGCATGCTTGTACTTTTCAGAGGTCCGATATTGTTCTATGTACAATCCTTGTTTTATTGATTGCATGTAATAATCTATTTTTTTGAGGTTGTGGATTTGGGGTTCTTGGGGTTTTCATGAGCTGTAAGCCATAATCACAATGATGACAAATCACGGCTTGAATGATCTTGCTTTGCATGTAATGAGTCTATCTCGTATATTAGTTTCACCTTTAAAGTTGCATTAGTGAAATAAATGAACTTTGCACGATATTCTAATTATTCGAGTTTCACCTGTATATACATCCTCTTTCAGTGAATTATCAGGGAGTCTTGCTAAATATAGCCACAAGCCATAGACCTGCATGTCTAATCCAACTGCCCTTTGATCTTTCTTTCAACAACTTTTTAAGTGGAGTGGAGTTGCTTCCCTCAATCCTTACAGAAGTCATACTTCTTACTTACTGTATTATAAACCAGAAGAAAAAAGTTTGGGTTGAAGTTTGTCCACTTTTCTGAACAAATAAAAATAAATGCACACTTCCTTATAAAGTGCATTTATTTTGTTTTTATTTATTTTGCATTGATGCTAGTAAAGCATTGCAACTGCAATCAGTGGATCATGGGTGAAGTGCTCTGGCTCCTGCAGATCCTCTCCTGTCCATACCAAGGTACAAACATTAAATATGTCCCCGATCACACCCAGGCATACTGGGGATGCTAATTTTGTTCCTGTGTTTACCACACATTCCCATTTGGTTTCATTGGGTTCTTGTACAATTGGGGGTGGTGGGGGGGTGGGGGGGAGTTTGCTGGGCAGTGACCATAGCTTTTAAATAAACAGTTCCATTAGCCAAGCACAGTTCCACAGACCTGTTAATGTGAATGGAGAGTAAGAATCATGCCCAGACACATCCACCATTGACTTATTTCAGGACAAGTTTGCCCAGTGGAGTCGCTTCCCTCAATCCTTACAGAAGTCATACTTCTTACTTACGGTATTATAAACCAGAAGAAAAAAGTATGGGTTGAAGTTTGCTATTACTGAAATGTTATCTTGGCAGTGTTGTGTGCAGTGTGTGTTCCGGTGCTTACTTGGCTAACCTGCCCCTTTTGTAAGGATGTTTATTATTCTTAAAACAAGAAAGCCTTGTTTCAGTGCTGTATTGTACTACAAGCGTGGCTTGAATGTTCAGCATATATTTTTAGGAAGAAATCTGTTCATGAAAATACCTGCTTAGCCTAATTGTATCATGACCAGCTACAGTGTCCAAATCATTCATACAATCCTTACGATCTTGTCTGAGGTTCAGTCGCTTTCCATTGCATACAGAGATGTTGTCATAGGCTAGTGAAGTACTAATTGTCCAGAGTTCTTTGGTGATGTGGATGTACTGTATTTAGTTTATGCGGTTAGGCAGGTTTTTCACTTGTGTGAGTAAAAATTCCTATCTGTGTGCTCACTACTTCGTACCTTTTTATTATAGTGCTTTTAAGCTGCCTTAAAGTGAACTTGTGCCCAGACTTTGCACACTAAAGTATTTACATATTCTGAATAAGCAGAAAAGTACTTTAAAACAAAACCTCTGTAGCTTTAGTCATTGTGGAGAAATTTGCCCGTGAAGTTTGTAACAGAGGCACTAAAATCTCTGCTCCTTTCCCTGTTATTTTCTGTGGGGAGCAGCAACCAGTATATGACATCTGTGTCCCTCAATGAACTCCAAGAATAGGATTTTACAGGGAGTACAAAAATCATTTTACTGTAGCTGGCAATAATATTTGCTTAAAAGCTGTGTGGATCACAGGTTATGCCATCTGTGCATGCGGACCCTTATCAGCATGTGTTTTTAACTAAGGTTTCTGTTTGGATTTGTCTGTACTGTAGAACAAAGATGAAAAGAAAGCTCAAGAAACCAAAGAAGAAAGTACCAAGCTGAGAAGCCAAATCTTTGACCTTTCCCAGGTATGACATTAGGCCATATGGTACAATACCAATAGTAGGCGCACCCGACGCATATCTGTGTGTGTATGTGGGGGGCGGGGACTTTCTTGCTATTACATGGGGGGCTAAGAAGCTGATGAAGCAGAGATCTGCTTAATCAGCTTCTGTAGCTCGAGAGTGACACTGAATGCAAGAAGTGATGTAATCTACATCACTTCCTGCATGCAGGGACTGAGAGGTGATCAAATGTTTGGTGTCTCTGGAGACGCTCGATCGCTTGAATGTAGAGCTCCCGGCCGGCCGTGTAATTACAACGGCCGGCCAGGAAGCTGTTCGTCGGGCTCACCGTTCTCTCGTTACAGACGAGTGGATGGGTAACCAAATCGAATATGTAAAGTAGCTCCATGCAATTGGCTATGTTCCTATGGGATGATGGAGCAGAGTAAGGCCTCTCACTAAGGGTTCAGTGAGGCATGCTCCTCCGTCCAGAGGATCGTTGCCCACCCACCAATTGAGCCTAATTGTCACAGCTTTTGTTGGCTGTTTGACCTTGCCAGCAAGATCTGTAATGGGGCAATGCCCTCAAGTTGAACTTTCTAATGCCTGTCTGGCAGTAATGGTAAGGACAGGTTCTCCTTTTGCTTCCCCTTTCAGGTGCTCACAGCGCAGCTGTGACTGGCACTGGTTATTCAGTTATGGTTATTTATATATTTATAATTTCTATGTTGGAAAATTCCAATACAGCTGGGACCTAGCCATTGCCAATTCTGGTAAAACAAAAAACAGAAGACGCCTTTCCTAGTGTAGGTGCTTTTATTGAACAGAAATAAAAGCAAAAATATTTACTCACAATGGAGCAATAGCATTCAGCTTCCAATACACAGAAGACCATCCACAACCCAGAAGAATAAGGAATGTGAATTGAAGCTCCATTGTGAGTACATTAATTGCTTTTATTGCTGTTTAATAAAAACACTAGGTAAGGCACCCTCTGTCTGTTTGTTTTTTGTTTTGCTAGGCATTCAAGTCCGCCCTGACTGAAGTGGGATGGCCTACCAGTGGGATTCCAAATCCACACACTACCAGTAGAGGAGTCTCCCTTGGCGCTAGTGTCATGTACTGACTTTCCAATTTTGGTGTGTCTCATCTTTGGAAAGGCTGCATTGTATACATAGATATGGCTAGACCAGCCTTTCTCTGCCTTTTTTTCAGTCATGGCATCCTTTAGAAGTATGCAAAATGTCGAGGCACCCCAGTCTCAAATGTAATGGAAGAGGGACACCACACAAAAAAGTTGGTTTCACATCAGCGTCCATCTCTTTCTTTCACGTCGGTGGCCTACCCTCACATTAGGAGCCCCCAACCCAGAAAGGCATGATGCTGTGGGAAAATTTCGATGCACTCCTGAGGAAACCAGAAGGCACCCAAGGGTGCCATGGCACCCTGGTTGAGAAAGGCTGGGCTAGACCTATGCTTCTCTGCAGTAATGTATTTTATTAGATTATGTCCTTGTCTGTTACTAAAAGTGGGAGCAGAATCTGGAGATGGCTGTTTAATATCTGTTTTTGTTTGACACTGTTGACCATGTTTTATTTGAAACTTGGAAGCATCAGCTCTAGTGTTTGCTTTCTTAATACAGGGAACTTCCTCTACTTCTCATTAGATCCGGCTCTAAACTTGTTCCTTATGGCATGACCCTACCACTAGGCAGTTCCTTTCCTTGGTACATGCATGCGTGTGTTTTAATGAAACTATCGCATTGACAAGCTGCCAGCGGTAAAACTGTGAATTCTGTGACCAGCTGTTACCAGGGAGGGAACCTTCTGTAATGTTTCTCACTTATCAGCCGGTATCATGGCTGTGATCAGTGAGGTGTACTGAACACGGCAGGTTCCCACTGTTTGTTCTGGGCACGTTTCGGTGTAGAGAAATGTTTATTTTCTAATTCACACACTGAACTTGTGAAAAGGATCTGTCTATAGCTACTACAATGCATACATTTCTGCAAATAGGCGAAATGAGTCTTCAAGTCATGTTTAACTTTAAATAGTTTGTCTTTATGCTAGAATGGTAGTAAATACATAACAAGTACATCTATATTCTACAAGCAGCATACACGTAAAGGGAATATACAGTCCAGTGAACTGGCACAGACTAGAGTGGCTCAAACAAATTGGGGGGGGGAATGGAGAGATATGGCGACCACCACTAAGAGCCAGGTGTGGCATTTTGTTTTCAGGTTTCCACCATTCCCTTGTGCACATCCTGCAGACATGATAAATCTCAGGTTTATGAAACCAGATTTGCATAAATACACAGTTGGGATTCTTTTGGATGTGTTATCATGTTATTTGGTTGTTAGTAAATTGGCCCTCCTGACCAACTAATCAAACGCTGTCTGTTTATGGCCTGCTTCTGAAATAATTTAACCACTTTCACTCTTGTACCTGTTACCCCTTAGAGACCAGATCAATCATTAAATTTCCACTATGGGCCTATTGAGTTAATGTTGTCATTACTTAAAGTGACATTAAAGTCTACATTTTTTCCCCTCCCCCCAATGTTCGTGTCAGCACTTACCTTAAATGATGTCTCTTAGTCCAATGTACTTCTTTCCTGTCGTTTTCATCTGTCCCTCCAGCGCTGACTCCTCTGTGCTTGCTGGCACTTCCTGTCCCACGGTGTCTGCATGCGGGTGCATGCTGTCTATAGACTTACCTTGTGTCTCTCCTTGTCTCCCGGCCGAAAATCTGAACTGCGCATGCGCCCGCCCCAAGTTCCTTTGCGGCCGCCTGAGATTTTTCAGATTTTCGGACAAGAGCGCAAGGCGAATACACAGGTAAGTTTTTAAACCTGTTTCAAAGGATTTTTTTCATTTAAAGTTTTTGCATATATCTACTGCTTGCTAGCACCTGAGGGTTTAATAACCCCTTAAGATAACAAAGTATTAAATTTTTTTTTCAATACAAAGGCTTTATCTTGAAAATATTTGTCTTCATAAATTACTTCATTTTCTATGCAATCTATAAACAAAAGGTGTAACAAAAAAAATGTTTTTCTAGTTCAAACAGTGTTTCTTTTACAACAAAAATATTCCTGTCGATTTTTAAAAGTGCACATTTTATTCTATAATTTTTCCTGTGTATAAAAACATTAAAATAACGCCATCACTAAGCATAGTTAAAGGAGAACTATGGGGTCAGGGCTTTTCCCCATAGTTCTCCTAAGGGTAACGGGAGGACACAAACTAGAGTCCTCCTGTCACCCAAAGCTCAGTATATCGCGAGCTACAGCTCGCGGTATACTGAGATGCCGCAGCCGGGATGGATCCCGACGACATTGTCGAGATTCACCCATCTGCGTGATTGACAGCTGGCTCTGCCTATCTAGAGGCAGAGCCAGCTGTACCCTCCCCCCGTCCATTCCACCAGTCAGCGCTGGAGGATCAGACGGGAGGAGGGAAATCCCTGCAGGGAGCCGTAAGTGACAGTCACGGCTCTCTGCAGGGATAGATCAAGAATTGAGCCAGCGACGGTATGATGGTGTCCTATCCACCATTGCTATTATGGCCACTTGTGTAAAAATCATAATCCTACCCATAACCTCTACATTATAGAAATGGCAGCAGCTAGCATAAAAAAACACAAGGATTCCCACCCATAACCAAAAATATATATTTCTATGAAACCAGAAGATGGCAATATCTTCATTTGTATGACTAGGAGGTTGACGATATTTTTCTTTTTTAATCTGATATAACAAGTTGGAGTTGAACTGCGTCTCTTTTGTAGGAAAATGAGCACTTGAAAATAAGCCTGCTAGAAACGCAAACCAACATCTCCCTTCTACAGACTGAATTGGACAGGTTGAAGAACGACTTTACTGATCAGCAGATTCACCATGAAAGGTAACTGTAAATGAAAATGAGCACATCAACTGATTTTGTATCATTATTGGATATAGAGATCAAGGCATAACCAACCTTGTTCTCATCTAGTACACAGCAGGGCTAGATGGGTTTGGTTCCATTTTCATCAAAGCCCTCTTGATGTACTCTTATGTGTATGCCATTACAGTGTTTATACCACAAAACGTACAGGGTATTTTCAAGAGAAATTGAGATCCCTGGTTTGGTCATCACATCTCCATATAAAACAGACGGGTCCTATTTTTTACATGCCTCTTTTAGGAATTTCGGCCTCCTATTCTGCTCTTGCTTGCCATGCTTCTTTTTTCTCTACTGTTACGATACACTAACATTACATTTGTATGACTAAGCTATAGAACAAGGGTTCATTTCAATCATCTATACCAGCCTTTCTCAAATAGGGTGCAACCCTGGGGTACCCTCTGGCTGCCTCGACATTTCCACACAGTCATACCTCTGATGTGAAAGGGGGGTTGTGATGTGAAGGGGACTCTGATGTGAAGGGGAATCGCACTTTTTTTTGTGTTTGGGGGAGAGGGGGGGTCCGTCCGTCTATACATACCAGACATACCATTTGGTATTGTTTTTGTAGGGACCACATGCCATTTTTTTTTTTTTTACATTCACAGTTTTTACATGTTAGACTGGGGGGTGCTTTGAGAATTTACATACTTCTAAACGGTGCTGTGACTGAAGAAAGGTTGAGAAATGCAGATTTATACAGATAGAGCTTCACCCTCTTTACATGCATTGCATTGTGGTTTTATAGTAAAATGGATTTTCTCACAAGTAGCCACAGCAACTAAGGTATTAACATTTTTATTAGGAACTCAAGTCTCACAATAAATTCTATCATTACACGGTTGATTTTCTTTTTGTAATGGGTCTACTGTTTGCTGCAGTCATTCATTACATGCAGGGCCAAATTTTGTGGAACTCTTTAAAGCTCACTTCAGTTAATCACACGCCAAGTGATTATGACTGAGCCACTCAGCCAGAGAAGCAGAAAGAGATTACAATCTGGCTTGTGAATAGCCACTCTGAGGGCCATTGACGTCAGGTGAGTCACAGCATTAAATCATAGCAGACACTGGTCCAACCGGAAGCTCTGCAGGAGAGCAGTTAGAAGAGCTGGTGATGCCACGCCAGTTACTTTGTACAAATATATATGTGTGTGTGTGTGTATATATATAATTGTATTGTATTGTATTGTATTGTATTTCTATTTTGTTTTCTTTTAACACAGGGAGAAGGAGCTGCTGAAAACAATGCTAGATGAAAGCAGAGGATATACTAGCCAAATTCAGATACTAAAGTGAGTGTGGAAATTCTTGTTCTCACAGTTGGACATATGGAGACTGTGTTTAACAGACATTAAGGATAGCTTTTGATTGTAGTATATATCTTGTCACAAGCTGTCAGTGTTTTCTCACACAATGTAAAAAACTATGGCAGAACATTTTACAATTTAGAATGCTCTAAAGTCACTCATTAAAATGATCATGCAATCTAAAAGCTTTATTTGACTCAGAGGTGGAGACTTCAATGGCTAAATCTCCCCGTTTTATATTTGGCTCTGTGCTAAATCATCCAGAAGTCTTCTCTTCTACTGCATGGGTAGGCAACTTTGGCAATCCAGCTGAAAAAAACAAAAAACTACAAGTTCCATGATGCTTTGTAAGAATCTGACAGCCATAGGCATGACTTGCAAAGGCATGATTGGAGTGCACTGTTCCACCTACAGAGAGCAGGAGCCTTTTGGTAATTCAGAGAACAGAGATCTTAGATCCACAAGAGAATTGGGAAACCAGTTGAAAAACCAATCCAGCATTTGTCAAAAATGCAAATAACAGTGGAATGCAATAGGTGATCATATTTTCTAATATTGATTTTTCATTGCTGAAAGACAACAAGAATAGTTTACATTTGTCACTTTAAGACCACATGTCTTAGCTTATGTTTTCTGCTTCCAGTGAGGCCAACAAGTCCCTGTATGACAGTAATGACTGCATGCGGTCAGCTCTATCAAACCTTGAAAATGAGCGCAAACGGGTGAGTTGTGTTTAAACAGGAGAGAGAATGTTGTACCACAGCTATGTAAAACATGAACTCTACACACTCAGAAGATATAAGGTTCAATTCACAAAGCCACACACCAGGATAAAGATGCTGATTTAAATTTTTTTATTTTTTTTTTACATTTGAATACGATTTAGATTTGAAAATGACAGTCAAATCACTAAAATAAAGATACTTATGCTTCTGTTAAAGCTTTTGAATCGAGTATTGACTGATTTTGTTTTGTTTCATGTATGTCTGTGTGGCCATAATTCGAGGAAAAATATGCCTGTTTGTGAACATGTGCGTTGTGACAATAAATACCAATATGTGATCCGCTGTCATTAGCTCTGTATTCCTGTCCTCAGCAGTACGACCATGTTCTACAAATTTGCTTTGGGTGAAAATGCTTTAGGATTATGTTTGTACATAACATTAAAGGTTATCAGCAGTTACGTACTTGTTTGCCTGCTTTTCAGGTACTTTGTGATCACAGCCCAGGGCTGTTTGCCATAAGCCACTCGTAGGCTAGTGCCTAGGATAGGGGGGTTAAAGGGGGAGCGTCAAGCCTTAAAATATACTAATTTCCTTAAAATAACTTTTTCCTCCTGTGTATGCTCTGTTTAGTCATCCGCACAACTTAAAAGTAGTTATAAAGCAGACTATATGCTGCCTTTTAAAATAGCAATTTCTCCATGCTTACAAGCGTTGATCCGAGGAATCTCCCGCTGTTTCCTGATAGTGGCCACCAGCCACTGTCAGAATACCCGAACAGAGTCGGCAGCTCTGTTCTTTCTAAGATTTTCTGACTGGCTCCTTCATTCAGCTGATCCAGGGATACAGACCAAAAGGGTGTCGAGAGCAGCGACCACTGTGCGAATTCTTCAAGAACCGGCCAAAATGCTCATAATGCTTGGCCAGCTTTACGAAATGGCATCATTGGTTATATATACCTAGGGGCTTATGCTGTGGAAAATTCAAGCAGTGCTTGGCCCTGTCGGCACCACCTGCCTCAACAAAAGTAAATGTTTCAATCATCTTATGTCAAAGCTGGGTGGATAATTGTCAGCAGAACAGTGATTTGTATCCAATAATATGCAGTCACTGATTAGGTATTCAGACAGCCATGGGTGTTAGCTGCCTGAATACAATAGTCAGCAGGGGGGATTCCGTCATCCACGCTGTTTATGTTGGATGAGGAAATTGAGTGATTTCTCTTATTCAGTCTTTGGGGCTAAAAGAGAGTAATCTAAAAGTGTATGGCCCGCCTAAAGTGCAGGTCTTATCCTTAAACTTTCTTTCTGCAGTGAGGTTTCTGATAAGCATTCTAGGCATGGTTCCTCTACTATAGTAAATGTTTACAAGAACAGAGTGAAGCACTGTAGAATGGAGTGAAAAATCAGAAATGCACGGAGGGTGTTTGGTAAAAGAAGCGGTCTATGGTTGTAGAAAGGAAGGAATTACGTCTTTCATTGTGCTCACATGTACCTTCTCCTGTTTCAGCATTCCTCTCCAAATCCGCAGAAGGAGCCACCTGTGATTACCTATAGCAGGTAAGGTGTAAATGTAAACAAAGGACACAATGCACTAGCACAGCTCTTCTCTAAACACAGCAAATAGGTTATTATCCGCTGACATGTTTTTGTGACTATACCCATAACACATTATTAAAAAAAAAAAGCTATACATGCCGTTAACCCCTATAGAATCATTTCTGCAGCTTGTCAGAAAAGAAAACTATTTAATATGAATCTGAAGCCCAGGTGTCTTATTTTAGGATAAAATAGGGAATGGAAGGAAGCTCTGTCAGTTTATTATTGCTGTCTGCGTGCCCACTGGGGAGATGAACTCTCCTAGTGACCACTTGCTGAGACAGTTCTAACATTGAGGAGATTTCATTTCACTTACAGTTGGGTCTCTAAGGGGAAGTGAATGGAAATCGGGAACACACCAAAAAAAAAAAAAAAACTATATCCAAAGCCAAAAATAATTATTTGCTCCAAAATCTGTGATTAAATAATTGTTGCAGAGAACTGGCTTAATTATATCTTCTAAAATCTCTCTTTTAAGTTATGAATGCCTATTGTTTTGGCAATAAAGCGGCGGAAATGTTAACAATATTCTGAATATCTCTATCTTTCATATGTGACATGGATAATTAGATATATTGAAATAACACCTGTAGAGACTTTTCACTTAGTAGCAAACCTTGTTTTGCCCAACTTAAAGTGACTTTAAACTCAGGAGTTAAATCTTAGAAATGCATTCAGGTACCCTAACTATTAACAAAAATGTATCATATTTGTGTATCACTCGGCTGTAGATCCTCAAATCATCTCTGAATTGGTGCTGACACTGTCCTTCCTCCTGGAGGGTGGCTGCTTTTGTTCCCCATGGTCCCTCTGTGTGTTGTAAAGTAGTCACCGCTCCAAGCTCACTCCTGTGATGGACTACAATCTCATGTTTAGTAAAATAATTTGTATTGAGATTGTAGTCCATCACAGGAGTGAGCTTGGAGCGGTGGCTACTTTACAACACACATAGGAACCATGGGGAACAATAGTAGCTACCCTCCAGCAGGAAGGACATTGTCAGTATGAATTCAGAGATGACTTGAGGATCTGCACCCCAGTAATACACAAATAACTATTAAGAAAAATGTATCTTAAGGTACTTGAATGCATTTTTAAGATTGAATTTCTGAGTTTAGTGTCACATTAATGTTTTATAATTTGTACAGTTTTATGAAATTGGTTTGATATACAACGTGCTTCTCCTCCTGTGACCTTGTCAACAGCTATGGAGGAGACGATGATCCATATCGCAGATTTTCTGATGTAGCTTCATGGGCCAATAAATGCAGGGACAGCGGAGTATCCCTGCCTCGCAGTCTTGGATACAGTGATGTGGATAGCTACGCCAGTGAACTTGGAAGTGACCACAGTCAGAGCTCTGAAGAGCCCTGGGAAGGAAGTGTTTCTTATGTGAATTCAGAAGCAGAGGTAAGTGCCCCTCTTTTAGATTGTCTATGGATTTGGTGAATGAGGAGATGACACTCCATATGCACATCAAAACTTGATAAAGAAGTTGTTGGCCAAAGCATTGAGTCCTTTTTTTATCTTAAAGAGTAAACCTGGTTGCCTGTCTTGCTGTGGCAGATCCACCTTTGCTTTATTCGCCCCCAGTTTACATTAATGGTAAAGATCAGTGTTTTATTGCTTCAGTTTTATTGGGCCTCAAACTAGAGCGATGTGTGTAGGTTATTGGCTTGCATTCCATACATTTTTAGCTATAAGGCATACCTACACTTTTTATAGCGTGCCAATTAATATTTTCCAGTTCACTTCATATATCATAGAGGAAATAATGAAGGCAGGTGATCTCTGACAATTTGAGACTGCCTGAGCCTTGTCTGCATCTGGTTGCACACTAAAATCCAGTTGGAATATGGTGTATGCCCTCTACCCACTGCTTTTAGGCATCATTGAACCCTGTGAGCAGTGTTCCCCGGGTGTACACTGCTGGGTTTTTGCTGAATGCAATGTAAAACTTAAGAATCGAAGTACCATTAGTAAGACTGCACTGTGCACATTACTACAGTATTTGCCTGACTGAATCAGACTATGTTTTATTGCACCCTGAAGGCCAGGCTAGTGGGTGATTAGTCTAGGCGACATAAAATATGTTGTGTATACTACGAATGATCTGCAATGTAGCAAGCTCTCCTTATATCTGTCATACATACCCTGCTGCATTAAAGCATTGTCTCTTTATTTTGCCAGACAGTAGAAGCCAAATCAGAAATTGATGGAAGAACAAAGTGGACCCCATCTCGTTCTGTAAGCCGCAGTGGTTCTACCGCCTCTTCAAAAAGGCGACTTCCTGCATTCACACCCAAAGTGAGTACAATACACCTTACTATATTTTAGTAGGTGCGTTGTGACTTATTTTTTTGCCCGTTCATTAGATTTTTTTTTTTTCTCTATAGTCAGATGTGATCAGTAATAGCACTACTGTATAAGTTGCATATTTGCAAAGTAAGATGTATCTTTAGCATTTTTATGATGTGTGTCAATTCAGATGTTAAAAGAGCATTGTAGAAATAATTTACCCGTACCCAGTACGTGGCCTAGATCAGCGGTCGCCAACCTTTCGGACCTCATGGACCACTAAATTCATAATTTTAAATCCCGCGGACACCGCTCCGGCCCAGTAATAATATTAATTGTTTCCCCCCCTATCGAATCTGCCACTGGCCCTGCCGGTGGCGCCCGGGGCACATGCCCCCCCTAGATTCAGCACTGCCCCAACCATCCACCAGGCCTCCCCTTCCCCCACACTGAGCCACTATTACCTGGCTTTTCCCACTTTTTCTATGTCCCGCAGCCTGCTCAGTCCGGGTACTGACGAGATGCCCGGCCTCCTGCAGAGCCCGCACTGTACTGAGAGCCACGCATTCCTTGTGACAGCCGCTGCTTGAGTTAGTGAGAGGCAGCCCCTGAGCCTCCGTGCCGCTTCAGTGACGGCCCAGCCTGCACGGCACCAGAGGGGCCCAGGGACCATCAAAATTTTCTCAGGGACCACCAGTTGGCGACCGCTGGCCTGGATGACTCTTTTATATTACCAATAATCGTATGGCTGATGCAAATGTTGCTGCTTTTGATTGTGAACATATTTTGTGCCTCTGTTCCATACAGAAAGAAGGTCTGGCATTAGAAGAAGGTTCTCAATACCCAAGTCCAATTTATCGTCTCGTTCTGGCTGGAGACGCTGGGTCTGGGAAGTCCAGTTTCCTTCTAAGACTGTGTCTGAATGAATTCAGAGGGGACATCACCACTACATTAGGTCGGGTTGCTTTTTGTTTTGTTTTTTTCTTTACAAAGCATTGCCATTATTTGAATATGAATGTTCAGATCTTTTTTGTTAAATAAGTACATGTCTGAAACCAGCCAGGAAAAATCGTTCATTGGTCTGATGTTGTTGAACTGCTGATAGAATAACCTAATGTTTTGTATGAGTAATTATACGTCACCCCTGTGCTTCTATTGTTATTAAAGGAGAACTATGAGGTGAGTGCTTTTCACTCACCTCATAATGAGACTGTCACAGGTCGGCTTAGTAGATCGGGAGGTGAGCGAACACATACCGGCGTTCGCTCACCTCTCGATCCTGTCACGGCTCTCTGCCGTGACAGGGGAGGGGCTGGATTACCCCCTCCCCGCTCTGCCAGCGCTGACTGGCGGAATGGACGGGGGAGGGGGCGGGTACAGCTGGCGCTGTCTCTAGATAGCGTGGCTCTGCCTGTCAGTCACGCAGCTGGGCGGATCCCGGCACAATTGTCGAGATCCGCTTCAGCTGCAGCGTCTCAGTATACCGCGAGCTACAGCTCTGGGTATACTGAGCCTAGGGTGACGGGAGGACGCTAGTTTGTGTTCTCCCGTTACCCTAAGGAGAACTATGGGGAAAAACCTTAACCCTATAGTTCTCCTTTAATGGCCTTTGGCCTATATTTATGATACTGGTGCAGGATGAAAAACAAACTCCTCCACTTTATTAAAACAGCACAGGCTTGTACATTTTTTGTAAAAAGTGTGTAAACCACTTGTTTTCATTGGAAAGGTGGATGTCATTGCATGACTCCGCTTGCCTTTCTAGTCTACAGCACTGGCATCCAGTAAGGCAAGTGTGGCACTTCAGAGGTTAATTAGTTAGGCAATAGGGTTAGTGGGTTAAGGGTTAGTTTGAAGCCTAAGGGTTTTTATTAAATGTATGGTTTGTGTTAAGGGTTAGTGTGACACTCATAGTTATTTTAAAGGTTGTTATTCTGGTTAAACATTATGTTAAAGGAGAACTATGAGATGAGTGCTTTTCACTCCGCTCATAGTTCTAGCCCACCTGTGACAATGAGACTGTCACAGGTCGGCTTAGTAGATCGGGAGGTGAGCGAACACATACCGTCGTTCGCTCACCTCTCGATCCTGTCACGGCTCTCTGCCGTGACAGGGGAGGGGCTGGATTCCCCCTCCGATCCGCCCGCGCTGACTGGCGGAACGGACGGGGGAGGGGGCGGGTACAGCGGGCTCTGCCTCTAGATAGGCAGAGCCAGCTGTCAGCCACTAAGCTGGGCGGATCCCGGCACAATTGTCGGGATCCTGCAGCGTCTCGGTATACCACGAACTACAGCTCGCGGTATACTGAGCCTAGGGTGACGGGAGAACGCTAGTTTGTGTCCTCCGGTTACCCTAAGGAGAACTATGGGGGAAAGCCTTAACCCCATAGTTCTCTAAGATTCAGGGATATTTTGTAGCATACTATCACTTCTGCCAAAACCCCATGCCAAGAACAGCACTAGATTTCCATTGCTGAAACCAACTTGCCATCAGTATGTAAATAGGTGTTCTGATATAATAGGAATTGGTGCATACATCGCCTGGTTTTCAGACTGTGATCGTATTATAGCTGCCCATTTATTTTGTTGATCATTTAATTGCCATTGTTTCTCCTTGACATAAGCCAGCTCTGATGATGTCTGGGTGTTCCCACAGCTTACCCACACATAAAACACGGTATATCCAAGCAATCTAAGTACTAATTATTATTATTATTATTATTGTTGTTGTTGTTATACAGGATTTATATAGCACCAACAGTTTGCACAGCGCTTTACAATATAAGGAAGACCTTACAATCACAATAGAATTCAAGACAAGATGGCAAGATGATGCGTTTAAAGTTTAAAAAAAGCAAACTGGGCAGTTAGATCATACATACATATCTGAGTGTGCTGAATTATTCACAAGGGTATATATATATATATATATATATGTCAGAAATCAGAGGAAGAGGCTAAGACTTGTAAGGTCAAGGTGTTTGCCTAGGAGGCTGGTAATGTGGGGTGAAAGAAGGTGGTGCTGTGCACTCAAATCTTTTGTACTGGGATGCTGATGGTGCGCATCATAATTATACAAGGTTTGTTGGTGTGCATATCCAGGAAAGTGATTTGTGCTCATCCCTACGGACAATCATACCTGAAAAATTCTGCCCCAGTGGATTCAGCATTGCTGCCTGTAAAGATGAACTTGCATTGCGTGCTGCTATCTATACCAATGTCACCTCCAGCCCCTATTCACAAAGAGTAATTTGTTGCTTAACACTCTGTGATTGAAATTTCAGCTATGTAATGGTGAGCATTGGGTTATTTCAGACTATAAATGAACATAAATCATAAATATGTTGTTGGAAAGGAAACCATGTCCTATTCATGCAGCATGGTTCCCTGAACACCTCAGCCTTTCCTGGGCTGCCAGATATCCTAAACAGAAGAAAGTTTCCGGAAACTGCTTGCAGTCAGAAGGTTTATTGAAGTAAAAATGGCATATAGAAAGTGTCACGCCTTGACATGACTTATTCTGACTCCGATCGTTGTGATAGCGAAATATATCCCTTGCTGAGACCTCTATGCCTGGCCTGTATAAGCAGATATACTCACTGCGGACAATCCTCGTCAGATAGCTGAACTCGTCAATACCGATTCATTCAAAAGAGGTGTTTATTCTTTAACATCAGGGGTTACAGCAGATAACAGGAACAGCAGATGAATGGTGATAGTATTGTGCAGTCAGAAAATGATGCCTTTCCTCCGTACTGTGCAGATTACCTGTGTGTCCTTGTTACATGTGGCTTTTAACTGTGGCCATGACACAGGAAGTACTGCACACAGGAAGAAGGGTGGGGCTACATACAGAGAGGAAATACATTGTAGACATCACAAAGAATCACAGAAAAACATGTACATTACAACAAAAGGCCACTAGATGGCAGCATAGGATAACACATGAATTTAGCTATGAGAAAATAGTTAGGCAAATCACACTATATAAATTCTAACCTATATAACAATGCTAATAATAACTGAGGCTATGCATCTCATATTCTATGCCCCTATTGGGGCGGCACATGACTTGATCATAAGACCCTTTAATTAAGCATGCTTTGGTGCGAAATGCATCAAGGTGTTTGCTATGACCTGCTTTTGTATATGCTGTTTTACTTCAATAAACCTCCAATTTGGAACCAGCTCCCGGGACCTTTTAGACTGTTTATTGCGCTGTTAAGGCTATGTTTACACCATGTCTGGACCAGATCTGCAAACAAAGTGCAGTTTGCTACGATTTTACCGCGGCCTGGGATTTTTTGTGTGCTTATAATGGGCTTTAAAGTGCAGTCCAGTGCGTTCTGTACCTTTTTTTGATGCAGTTTTGCACGTTCTGGTGTGCTCCAGACCAGAAAAAATAAGACCTGCAGTATTTTTCCGGTCTGGAATGGAAAGCACTGCAAAGGTGTGAACTGTAGCCCAGAAATCACATAGACATACATTGGAATGCGTTTTTGGTCCAGGAGCAAACTGTTCTGGTCTGGACAGAATCTGGACATCGCGTGAGTGTGATTTATTCAGAGGTATCCCAGGTAAGCACCACCATAACCGTGCTTTTAAAATGTCAATGATTTAGACAGTAAAAGGCCTTTTATATTTCCAGCTCATTGATACATGACACAGCTCATGTTATATAATTTTAATTGATGTGAATAAAAGCCATGCTTTGTAATTGTCACCTTTTTTTCCTGGATAGCATTGCTTTTTTTGTTTTCCTTCACATTTCTTGTGTTTTAATGGTGTTTTGGCTGCAAGGTTGCTATAAACGTGTCGAATAAGCTTTTTTATTTTCGTAGGAGTCGACTTTCAAATGAAGAAACTTCTAGTTGATGGACAGTATACAACCCTGCAGATCTGGGACACAGCTGGTCAGGAAAGGTACAAGCAAACCTTGAACATATATTCCTATCTGTGCTGATAAGACTATTCAAGTCAAAAAATAGCAACTCTCTGCAATCCGGTCCCATTTGCAGAGTGTGAATGTGGCCTTAAATAGAGTCTTACAAATTCCTTCATGAGACTTTTACGATCTCCTGTGAGTGCGAGGTGCTGAATAATTGAATGACGGCTGCCAACGCCTGCAGCTGTTCGCAATTAATTGCACAGGCTGCAAAACCTACGGGAAATGGCACTTGAATATAGTAAAGGGTCCAGGTACGCTCGCCTGCAGGTAATCGCTGTCCTTGAATTATACAGCTCCTGCCGCCTCAGCAAGATGGCCAGAGTCTCATGGGGGAATTTGCGAGACTCTGCGATCTGGCCCCATACACAGGTGTGAATGGTGCCCAACATTAAACAAATGTTCCCCACCCCGCTTTCTCAGATTGATTGTGTTTACTGTGTACCTTCAAGACTGAGCTTCCTGATCAGTAAATATGTGCGAGCGCCTGTGAGAATGGCTGCACACGTTTCACACTCTTATCTCCAGCTAGTTATAGTTAAAACCAGCTGTACATATAAATATACTGCAACTGTTACATAAAATTACATTGATTGACCTAAATAAAATGAAATATCTTTAAAGGGATCATTTTGCATTTTCTCTACTAAATATCAAAGCAGCCAGCACCTATCTGGAAAAGGACCAAAAAGTTAATATATCGATTAAAAGCATGGCGCATAAATCGATATATTCACAGATTGATTGACCTGTAGCTGTTCCCATACTGTCTGCTACAGATTTTACAGCAGCAAGCCGTGCCATGTTTAATAGTCCACAGATAAAGGGAACCTGTCACCAGAGAAACACAAAGGCTGACTTATCTAGTTACCTGGCTGTCAAGCTGAACTCTTGCTTCATTACTTTGAGTCACTGACATGGAACAAGCGTGCAAATAAGTATATGGTTTTTTTTTTCCTGAGTTCTCTGACCTGCATGCTTGTTCTGGGCCTGAGACTCCGAAAGTGCTGAAGCCAGTGGGGCAGCATTAAATCCAGGCAACTGCCATTTTCAGAAGGTGGTCAGCAATGGCAGCTACCATATTTCTCTTGCATGACGTTTTCTGTAAATCACTGAGTCAGCGTCACTCATGTAGTTGCAGCCCAAATTGCAATATAATTGGCATTCTTCGGATTCTTAGCTGGGAGCTACAGAAACTGACATTTTGACAGATTTTGAAATTCTTGCGTCTCCCAGATACTTCACAAAGACACGCACATGTTCCTAGAATTTCTAGATATAGCAGTTTAGAAGCTGACGGATGTAATTTCATCCCAGCAACTGGAGACTGATTAACTTGTTTCTTATATTTGTACTTTTAGGTTCCGCAGTATAGCAAAGTCTTACTTCCGGAAAGCACACGGAGTACTGCTGATGTATGACGTCACTTCAGAATCTAGTTTCCTCAATGTGCGTCAGTGGATTGATGATATCAAGGTATATATATATATATAAGAAAAAAAGAAAACACTGTTATTCAATGGGATGGATTTCTGCTTGGTTGGTGTTGCTTTGCACTGCTAGGTTCCTAGGATTTATTCCTACCCAAGTCATTGAATAAAGGTACCTATGCCCAGCCTAATTGTATAGTATATTATTTGATTTAGACTTAAGCTAGCCACCATATACTTAGTTTTCCCCATCCACACTAAATAGCTTCATTCTTGCATGCACGTACTAGAAAGTACTTGCAATGGTTGATGCAAGTGCCAAACTTGGAGCAGAGGTTTCATGAGTTATCTTTTAGGGCTCGTTCACGCCTGGTGTGTTAACCACTTACTGTAATTCCTGTTCTGATGCTCTGGGTTTTGGGAGCGGTCCCTTAGTGTCATCACATAAAATGTAGGGTTATTAGTCCTAGGACCTAGTGCTCTTGTTAGGGGGAGGGGTTAATTGAGCTCAGGTGTCTCTCATTGAGCAGGTGTATTATAAACTAGTGCATCACTCATTTTGAGCTTGCTCACACAGGGCTTGGGAACAAAGTGCCTGGGAGCTAAGTGGCGTTTAAACAATTGAAGTTTAACCAGGGCGGTTGTAACTTCTTCCAGGGCGGTGGTATAAATTAAATTTAGTTTAACAAACAAGTTATTGACCGTACCACTTGTGAACCATAATTTAACCCAGGTTGGTAGTATAATTCAGTATAATTTATTTATCTTAATCTAATTTAATTTAAATTATTTAATTTAACAAACAAGTTATTGAACAGGCCACTCGTGATCCACTAAACCCTAGAAAGACCGTAATATACAGGGGTACGGGTACTCCTAGAATGAGATCCTAATAGGTTGGACTTGATGGACTAATGTCTTTATTCAACCTCAAATACTATGTAACTATGTATGTGGATGAGGCAAGCATGCAACTTTGGCCAGGATTTCCTTAGGGAGGAGGCTTTGGGGGAACAGTCACACAGATCCGATGAGTTGTTACAATGCGTCACAGCTTGGGTGCACAACATCCACCAGTGTGTGTGCTTTATATGCACCATAACGCATGCACACTGGTGTGAACGGGCCCTTAGAGCTTGCGGTGCATATGTAGACTTGTACAGGGACTAACATTAGGGACTGGAGAGAAACCAGAGTTATAACCCATTAGCCCTACCTGACTTCGGGCAAGCCAGGTCGTTTGTCTGTGTAGCCAGGCGGTTTTTGTTTAGAGGCTGACCGATATCCGCTCGTATATCTCATTCAGCCAGGGTGACCATTTAAAAATGGCATCTACATGGTTGTTATGCAGCCGCCTCAAAGGTTGAGGATGTCTATCAGAAATACAATATTGTTGAAAAATTGTGTTGTATTCCTAATATGATGGTCACAGAAAGCATATTCAGAAATTACACTTTTAGTGTGTAAAGAGATTTCTATGGATAGGAATAACTCTCCTACAAGACCAGCCTGGATCAATGTCATTTACACATTGTTCAGCGTGACTGATTACAATGTCTCTTGATCACACAATTACCTTTTCTATTTCAGAATTCGTGTGACAAGTCTATCCCCCTGATGCTGATTGGCAATAAGACTGACCTGAGGTCAGAAGGTAATGAATCGGGAGGAATCCAGACTTCAATAGGAGAGAAGCTAGCGATGGTAAGTGGACAATACACTGGGGTCTATTTACAAAGCTGCCGAAGGATCTGGCCGTAGCTTCGGCCGATCCTTCGGCTAGCTTCGGCACCAGGACCCCTTTGGTTCAGGAGAACCGAGGGGGTGCTGTACGGGCTATTCACAATAGCCCGCACAGCTCCCGATCACGGCCGAGCGGCTCAGTCGAGCGCTGAGCCGTGCTGAAAGATGAAGCTGGCCGCTTCTGACAGCCTGCTTCTGACAGCTGGGCGGAGCCAGCCGTGATCTTACGGCTGGCTCCGGCCACTTTCAGAGAGATCAGCGTCACTGGTTGAGTCTGAGTATTGAATGGCTTGTAGGCACGCCTGTTTGCAGAGCTGTAAATGTGCTTTTTATTTTCAGGCCTATGGCTCCCTCTTCTGTGAGACAAGTGCAAGGGATGGTACCAATGTAGTGGAAGCAGTTCTTCATCTTGCTAGGTAAACCTACCACACTGGCTTATATGCAGATTATTTAGACTTGTTTGCAATCTCTACAAAGTCATGATTGGCCAGTAGTACACACAAAGTGGAGCCAAAACAGCCAACATTGAAACAACCAATATTCATGTTGTATATTGAATAACACAGGGGTGGAAAATATGCATATGGAATTCAAGAGCCAGTCTGTCCAATTCAGAAGCCAGCAAGATCTTTTTTTAGGAGCCAGCTCCATTGACAACAGCTAGAGAAAACCTCAAAAATTAGGTGCCAGCTGTAGGTTTAAGGAGCATTGGCTACTTGACTCCTGGGATTTGTCCAGCTCAGGACTAGGGACTCATAGCTTGTGTTGCCATGAGTTCCTATTGTCTAGATCTTCTAATCCCAAAGATAGCTGCTCACACTGTGCTCTTATGAATTCCTTTTATTAACTGCAATACCAACAGAAATACAAGTCAGGAAACAGTCAATAAAACATTACAGTGACACAAGTTGACATATCATAGATCAGTACTTAAGAAAAATGTAGACACAAAATGTCCACTGTGACTATAACAGGCTAGAAAGTTCAAGCATCCTAGAAGTGGCACCTAGTGTGTAATAATAAATAATATTGGAAAATAATTGGAATTATATTGGAAATATACACGTGTGGTCCCATGGGGCCACAATTCTCATGCACACTGAGAACATGGTGGGTAAAACCTGATAATTGGAGGGAAGGGGGAAGGGAAATAGGATCTCTAGTGTAGTGATTAAAGGGGGGAAAGGGAAAAAATGAGGTAGAGGGGAAATCAGAACAAGGAAGATCTAATACAAAAAAAAAATGAAAAAGGATCTGAATTCAAGAACGAAGGGGAGGAAAAGAACAAGGGCCCCACTCCGCAAGAAGGACCAGAGCGGAAACTGACAAACTTAAGGTGTAATCCCCAAGGGCAGAGAAGGGTCAATGTACTAATATCTCCGTCATGGCCATGTAAAAGGACCTTAAACCTAAATTATATTGGAGCTGACGCAGTGACCAATGGGAAGTTTAGGAGCTTTCTGAACAAAATGTTTAAGATGCATTTTTAATGTTTGTAAATTGGAGAAAAATACTTTTTTCACTTCTGGGTTGAATAAGGAAGACCTGGTGTTTTTTGTGACAGAGGGAATCAAAAATGATACCATTGTTACCAGAGCAAGAGCCAAGGGGAAGTCTCCCAAAGGCAACTTTCAAACATTGATTCCCCTTATTTCTCAGGAGTGATTTTTTTCCCTTACTTTCAAACCCAAAGGGGAAACAAACGGTGATTAAGCCTGACAGAAATGTATTCTCACCCTAGTCTGTCCAGAACTGTAAAAAGGTTTTACTGGAGTGTCACTGTAGCAAAATTTTCACTTAAACATTCGGATTGTGATCTTGAGGTGAAGTATTTTCTTTGCATCTGGTTTCCTGTCAGTAATGGTATTGCGCGCTGCTTCCTTCAGCCTAAGATGTCAGCAAATATTTGTACTTTGCTGTATGCCAAATGTTATAGCAGTTTTATTGCTGGAGAATAATCCGTACAATAGAAAAATATATGCACACGTTGGGCAAGAATTATGCAACATTTGACAAAGTATATAACAGCAAGACATCAAGTTATACATTTGCCAATTAAAGTAGAACTGAAGACCAAACTGTTTTTTAGTTCTGAATTTTGCATCTGTATCTTAATGGGTAGATCTCCTCCTTTCTTTTCCTATTTGTTATCCACAACAAGAAATGAGAGGAAATCCCTGATGGTCAGCAGGGTCACCAGAACTAGTGTCCCCATTGGAAGATTTCCCATCTGTTCCTGTTCTGATGACAATACAAAATGTGGGATTTTCTTTTTAATGATAATGTCACCAGAGCAAATATAGAGGGACACACACAGCAATAACATTTTGACAGGTGTTCTAATCCCTCACCACTCTATCCACCGCTAAAAAGGAAGATTGCACCTCATGTAAAGAAAGTTGTACATGCCATATTTGTATTCAAAAAGGACAGAGGACAGTTATATTTTTTGGAATCTAATTAGCAGCTAATTCACTTTAAAGTGTTTATCCACTTTTGTAGTCAAAATGGAGAACACCTCTCTATATTGTTTGTGTTCCTATTCACACAGCATAATGGAAAATAATTAAAAACAATATATGTCTTACCTTTTTAGATATCATCTCCATTTAGCAGGCCTTGCATGCTCCTCTCTCAATTTCAGTAACGGGACACTCGTTCTGTCCTAAGGGAAAGACAGACTAAGCTCCCCCCTCAAAAAATGGAGCAGATAAAATCTGGAGCAGCTGTGCATGGCAACCAATCAGCTTCTCTCTTCAGTTTGTTCAGTTAACATTTGAAAATGAAAGAGAGAAGCTGATTGGTTCCCATGCACAACTGCTCCAGTTTTGATAAAGTCCCCTCAATGTCCCCAGGGCTTTAAACCTTTTTTTTTTTTTTTTTTTTTAAAGACATACAGTACTGCTTATCTGGTTTCAAGTGATAATGAAATCTAGCAGCACAGTACAGACAGTCAATTATTTGAAACAAAAATTCCCCCAACAGAACTAAGCATGATTTTTTTTAAGTCCTAGAATTAGCAGAGAGAGCACTGAAACACTGAAATAAAGGTAAGCTGTAAGGTATCCTTTATGAATGGGAACATGTAACAAATATAAAGTTGTGGTTATCCAATGTGGATAATAGATGTGTATATTTGGCTTATGTTTTTGTGAATTGCTAAAAATTCCTTCATAATCTTGAATACAGAATCTGGAAGTGTTATGGCGCAGTCATTGTAATGTTTAATAAGATGCTGTGGGGACATGTAGATTCTGCAGAATGAACCTGAATGTCATGTATGTGTGCTTTCTTTTACTGTACAGAGAAGTGAAGAAATCGGCAGATCTGGTGGAAGAAAAAACAGAAGCGGTGACTAAACTCAGTATTCCAGACAAGAAAATGAATTGCTGCAAGATCTAAATATGTCATTCCTAGACAGAGAAACATGAAGGAACACATCACTGTGATGCTTTGCACAACACTGGACTCTACTTTAAGTTTCTTAACCTTTTAAACGTGAACAAAACAATTTTTCTTAAGAAAGAAACTAAACGAACTCTCAGGTGAACAAAGAATTTGCTATGCAATCCTATAAATCCTCATTTTCTGGATGTCCAGCAGACACTGTCAAGCCTATATAAGGCAGTTCAGAGTGCAAAGTGCGGTCTTTACAACAACCATTCAGATTTTAGTTCACTAAAGTCAGATGAGTGATAAAATAAAGGTTGCTCCATTGCTCTGAGTCACTGTACTTTGCCTTATTTATGTATATATAGAGCAGCCAGAGTGCTTATGGACTAGCAGCATCATTTTGTGCCTTATGCCTTGCTAGGTTGAATGTTGGGAAGCCAACAAAACTGCTTTACTGTGAGCAGAGACAGGTACACTTTAATTCTAAAAACTGGTTCTTCACTGCCTGTAATACTGAAAAAGGCTTTGCTAATGTTCATCTATTGCTTTCTTTTGGTATTTTGGGAGTTTTATTGTGTCAGTTAATAGTAAAAATAATTTTATGTTGAAAAAGTAATAATAACCTTCCTAACATATTTTTAGAAGATGTAAGCTGATTGGTTGTTTTGCCAGGTTTAACATGTAAATAGGGCACATGGCAGAACAGAAGTAGGGATTGCTCCTCTGTGAGGCTATTTACCTTTTTGTTTTCTTATTGAAGCATTTTTATTCACAGTGCACTCTAGTGACGAGAGCTCACAAAAGACACAGGATTGTATATGAACACTGGAAGTATTCTGTATAGTGTAGATCCCCCCTCTGTTCTTTTTAAAGCGGGGGTTAGGGTAGGCTACCTGGGTATTCCAACTGTGGTGAAACTACAAATCCCATAGGAAGCAGGATGTCACCAGCACACGTCTTATTGAAGCATATTGTCACAAGAATGGCAATGTTTCGGGAAGTCCCTTCCACAGGCTCCGTATAACCTGAAATGCGTCAATAAAAGAGTGTTGTTTGGACACATTTCTCTGGTGTGCTGGTTGACATCCTGCTTTCTATACTGATCTGAGAGGTGACATCCGCAGTCATTTCAGCACCCATCTAAAGAGGTTTACCTGTGAGGAGTGTGGTGGCAGTGGCGTAACCAGAGTTCTGGGCGCCCCGGGGCAGAAATTTTTTTAGCCCCCCCATTATATAAACAACCACTGGATCTGAACATGCTAGTTGCTTTTGCTGTTCCCCTGGCCCATCTTCATTACAGTTTGAGCCGCCGACTCATGACAAGTATGCAGAAAAGGAAAGTCGCAGAACTAGTTGTGAAGGTCTATCAGTCAGGTAACTAATAGACCTTCAGTCTAACATGAATGCTGCTGCTAGACTCATTCACCTAACCAACAATCCGTGCACTGGCTTCCAATCGCCCAAAGGATCAAATTCAGAATATCAACAACCACTTACAAAGACTTCCACAACTCTGCCCTCAGATATATCTCAAAGTATCGCCCTAACCATCCCCTCCGCTCTTCAAAAGACCTCTAGCTCCCTTGTCAACTCCTCCCAGGACTTCTTTGGAGTCTCTCCCATTCTTTGCAACTCCTTACCCCAACCTGTCCGTCTATCTCCCACTCTGACTACCTTTAGGCAATCCTTGAAGACTCATCTCTTCAGGGAAGCCTATCCCACCTCAAACTGACCACTGAACTATCACTTTCTCAAACAATTCATCCCCACACAGCTACCTCCTCATGTATCACTTGCCCCTCCCTTTTAGATCGTAAGGCCTCATGGGCAGGGCCCTCCTTACCGCCTTGTAATTGTAATGTCTTCCTCATATTGTAAAGCGCTGCACTAACTGTTAGCGCTATATAAGTCCTGTATAGTAATAATAATTAAGACTTTATCTGCATGCTTCTTCCCACTCAGTGACCTCAAAGAATTGAAGCAAGCATTTTCAGAAAGAGTCAGCAGCAGTCTACATGACCCGTCAAAGTAAACCTATGCTTTGGCCATGCAGGTTTGAGGACTGTTCCTGCATGTTTCCTATGCATGGGACAGTGCTGGGTGCCTGAGCAGCCAATCACAAGAGTTGTCACATAGAAAGAAGGGGCGTGAATCATATGCTCGCCATACCGGGATATACCAGAATTTCTGTTCACACCCAGCCAATGAGTAGCAGATAAGCAATGGGCAGATAGTATATGGAGCTGAGGAGGGTAACCGTTAAAGCGAAGCTGCTGTTTTGTCCAGCATGAGCAAAGCACAGGTTCACATTAAGGAACTGTGAACAAGTCCGTGTGTATTGCACATATTTTAGTAAATATCAAAAGTTCATTTTTTTTCTGTATTTTAAATTGTCTAGGTTTGTTATTTACAGTAGCAATAATATAGAAACAACTTTCCTGGTGATGCTTTTAAATTGGGGATCAGGCCCTGTAACATTGACACTCAATAGTCTATGTATAAAGAATTTGCAGAGCATTCACCCTGCGAATATCTGAATGTTCGTTCTGTGTGAAAAGCGGTAATAAGGAATGTTCTTTTCAGGTGTAATGTAATGCTGCATTATGGGCCCTAGATGGAGCTGAGCAACATAGGAAAATAGAATGAATTTCCTAGTGGCCAGAATTGGTATTCCATTACATTGGACCTGAAAAGAAAATATAGACTGTTCTGTAAGATTGTTCGTTTTACCGCTATTCACAAAGATTTGCAGGGCCAATGCCTCTCTGAATAGTTTATGAATAGACCCTTTACTGTCACATTAACAGTAACTGAAGGAATTCTCTTTTAACAAAGAGTCCTAGATGGCATTGAAAAGGTGACCATGGTGCATTACCACTCTATCCAAAATGAAAAGAAAAAAAAGTTTTGGCTGGGTGTATACTTTAGCTCAGGAGTGCAGATCTTACAATAACAACAGCATTGTTTATTAAACTGTATGCAAAGTGTAAGTTTTTGCAAAAATGTGCTCTACAATTCTGTTCATGAATGAACAACACTGTGTTTGTTTATATGAAAACTGCCTGTCAGCGTCCGTCCAGTGTTAGCTGGACAATGATTTGTTTCTATGCTTTTATACAAGATGGTACCCGTGTTAAGTTAACCCTCAATGACATCTGATAAAATGCCAATACATAGTATCTGTTTACTATGCATATTATACATTCTGTCTCTTAATTTTTATGCAAAATAAATTTTATTTAAAAAAAAAAAAACATTTAAATTCACAACGTGCTGTATACAAAGTCTTCATGGTGATATAAAACACGGACTGTTTTTGCTGTTCTGGTTACTTTGTGCTAAAATGCTTGGCCAGTTTTTCAATAACATGCATATCATGACAATTACAAAGAACATTGTACCTACTAAATTTTATAAATAAATACAGACACAAAATAATTTATTGTGGCTGAAAAGGGCTGCAGTGCTTTATTAAAGCGGACCTTTACCCTCATCTTTAAAATAACAACAAACACACCTTTTAGAAATGTTTAGTAATAACAATCCACAAACACATACTTCTAGATCATTGCCGGCTTTGTATTCTTTGCATTCCTTATTTCTCTATTCTTCCCCATACTTCTCACAGGGGCCATGTTTACCAAGGGCAGATTACTAGCTTTCCCTTTACTTCCTGGATTTCTGTCACATGTGACTAGGTCATATGCCTATGCATATCATCTCAGGGGAGGAAAATGCCTTTCCCTGAGATCTCATGAGTTTACAGATGAGATTTCCCAGCAATGCTCTGCTGATGTAACTTTCCCAGGATGCAACACTTTGGCACATTACTTAATTTGTGCCAAAAGTGGACCAGGAAGTAGATAAACTCTATTTGTAAGTAAATGAAAACCCATATTTGTTTAATGAATGTAAGATGATTTTAAATCGGCATGCAGAGCTGTATGCTGATGTGATTTTTAGAGAAAGGGGGTAAATCAAATGTAATGAACAAAAGATATATTACCTAAACCAGGACATTTAAATGACCGTGGCCCAATTTTAACAGCTCAGGCCACTTAAACCAAACTGACCAACAAAAGTCTAAACCGGTCTTGTCAATCTGCTATAGGCTCGTTTACCATACCCACTGCTGAGCAAGGCTGGAAACTGCCTCAATAAGACCCTGTCCGATGGTACATTTTAATATGACAGTTACAAAAAAATGTACCAAATTCACATATGGCTTTTTCTTTTTAAGGAACACATTAATAGTTTTTGTCTCTATAATCCATGGAGAGACACAGCTCTGAAGAATTCTGAGACATAGGGTTATGCTGCTGTCTCCAGGAGAAATGGACACAAGGCAAAGAAAATGAAAAGCCTGCCACTTTAAGGACATGACCCCTCCCCCACTTGCCAGTTTTGCTTAGTCTTTTCTGCCTTATTATTTTAGTTTATTTTGTTTCTCAACAAGCTTCTGATTTCTGTCCTGGACTTGAGGGCGATTCGTCTGATGTTGTTTCACTGGACCTGTCTTCTGTCTGGGGGCACCAGGAGCAGCGATGGAAGTACATTCAAGCTTCGATTGGGTAGAACTTCAGGTTTCAGCAGGGCACGTTCCAGGAGTAGAAAACTGGCAGGCGGATTGTCTCAGCAGACAATGTCTGGATCCGGGTGAATGGTCTATCCCTCCATAGGTGTTCAACAATTATGTCACCGCTGGGGAAGGCTGGATGTGGATAACTGGTTTCTAGTAACAAGAAGGTGGACAGATTTGTGTACAGAGCGAGGGATACAACGGTGGATGCCTTTAGTAGCTCCGTGGGATCAGTACACACTAATGTATGTTTTAGGGCTGCAGCTAACGATTATTTTCATAATCGATTAGTTAGCCGATTATTAAGTTCGATTAATCGACTAATCGGATTTAAAAAAAAAGGGCTCCAGTGATGGACTAGTTTCTATTGAGATTGTAGTCCATCACGCGAGCAAGCTTGGCGCGGTGGAAGTATGGTGTGTGGTGTGCAATATAGTACATTATACAGCGGCGCAGTGCAGAATACCAGCAGCTATAGAGGAATGTAGCAATAGTACATTATACTATAATGTACTATTGCTGTGATTTGTAGTCCTCTGTAGCTGGGGTTATTCTGCATTGCACTGTATATAATGTATTATTGCTGGGATTTGTAGTCCTCTATAGCTGGTGACATTCTGCAGTGCGCTGTATAATGATTATACGGCGAAATGCAGAATACCAGCAGCTATATAGGAAAAGTATGTTTCTCCTCCAACCCTGTTACCTCGACTGCTTCGCAGGATAGAACCCTGAGGACGTGCTTTTGAACATGCCTACATCTCAGAATTATTCAGAGCGGTGTCCCTCAATGGACGATGACGAATATAAGATTTTGTTCTTACCGTAAAATCCTTTTCTGTCCATTGAGCTCCCTCACTTCCTTTCATACTACTTGCTCCAACTGGCAGGTGTGAGGTGGAAAGGGTTATATCATTAAAGTGGCAGGCTTTTAATTTTTTTGCCTAGTGTCCATGTATCCTGGAGGCAGCAGCATAACCTTGCCTCTCAGAAATCTGCAGAGCCGTGTCCCTCAATGGACTCCGGTAAGAACAAAATCATATTTTTGTAAAATGTATTAGTTGAAGTCCCAAACACATTCATCCACAAACAATAAAAAGATCAGAAATCCCTAGCCACCTCAGTATTAAGTGAGAATTGAAGGAAACTTATGGAATAACATGACAAACTAATATAGGGCCGGAATCCCTACTGTCCTGCAAATTAAGCTACCAGATACCGAACTCTGATTTGCCCAAAGTCATCTTCCATGATAGTACATGAGTGGATAACCTAGAAATGACCTGCTAGGGTAAGGCGACCGCTTGCAGGACCAACTTCCCTAATGCTTAGTCCTGACTGGAGAGAAGGGAATCCAGTCATGTCAAACAAAATGAAAATTGGAGCAACAGAGCTGTTCCGGTAAACAACTAGTTCTCTGTCCAGTCCGGGGGCAAGTACAAAGACCCCTTATACCACTGGGATTCTACTTTTAAAAGAATGTACTGTATGCTCAGAATTTTTCTATCTGATCATTCTGTTTACAGTGTTATTTTTTAATATTTTATCCACAGTTTTATTACTCATGATAATAGTATTGCTTGGCCTAAATCTAAGCACACGGAAGTTAATTCACATCACTATATGGGTTTTACATTGGTGACAGAATTACTGTCTCATCCTAATACCTAGGGTGAGCTTTATTTAGAAACCAGGATCTCCTATAAGGATTATGGAGTCCAGGAAAAAGGTTAAACTGTGCATAAGGGTTCCGTGATAGCTAAAATGTGACTTCCACCGAAACGCCTGCAGTGGTCAAAAGCTACTAGCAACACCATTTTAAAATATAAAGGGTGTCTAGATGAACCCTAAAGATAATTATAAGTTATATATTGCCATTCAGCCACTGGGCCACATGGTACTTAAGGGAGTAAGACTGGGCCCTGGGAGTATGCTGTGATGAGTCTGCAAAGAAAAAGAAACACTGGCCATAAAGGCTAATCCTTGTTTTTATGCCCTGCACAGTCTAATGGGCCACTACAGGAATAAATTGGAAAGGTAGAAAAGCCGGTCAGAAAAGAATGCTTCAGGCTGTGCAATATGCCCGAGCCCTTTTCTCTAGGGAAAGGCGTTTTTGGGCTATTCTTTCTAGCAGACAGGCCATTATCAGAAGGCATTTATAGAACATATCAAGCTATTTTGTAGATCTGTTATAACAGCACATAGTAAAACGATAATAAACTGCATTAAAGTGACACGCAAGGACAATCAGATAGTAGACGCTTGTATTTCCATCGATAATATCTGCTCCCCAAAGTCATTCAGTGTTTATGCAATGCATTCTAGGCATATCTTCCACAACATCTGAATATTGGAACAGCAGCTTTATAACTACTCTGTATACTCAAGCCCCCCTAACACCTGTAGTAAAAAGTGCCAACAAGCAAAGAGGGGCTGGATAAATAACAAAACATGGCTATTACTTTTTATAAAAGTCAGGTACGGTAAAAAAATTTTTGTAGTCCCACTCCGACACCATGGGGTGTATTGTAATACTGAGGTGAGATCATTTATGCAGGTCACTACTTCAGGAGACTGTCTGCAGCATCAAAAGAAACATTGACATATAACACACAATGGGGTCAATTCACAAAGCTTATTTTCTTAATTTCGGCCGTTATTTCATTGATATCGCTTGTTATATAGTTGTGAGGGCTGTAATGTATAAAAGACATGTAATGAGAGAAAGTCATGATCATGTAAACTTCCTGTCTGTCTTTTCATTCATCAACCTGGACTGTTACCCTGCTTAGTAGTCATAAGTCATGCAAGAGGTATATACTGAGGCTATATATCTCATATATTAGTTTCACCTTTTAAGTTGCATTAGTGAAATAAATGAACTTTTGCACGATATTCTAATTATTCGAGTTTCACCTGTACTTCCTAGTCATACCCTCCTCACACCTCCCTACACATACTGCCCGCTGTCATACTCTCCGCACTCCTCTTCTGCATATACCGCCAGATAAGACCTGTTCAGAAGGGTTTGCTACATGCCTGAAATCTCCAGTTCTGGAACGGGCACATGATTTGATTATTCTTCATGTAACTGAAGAAAATAATATTTCCTTTATGTATACGAAGGTGAACTTATACAAACAAGACTAAACTACCAACTTTAGACTTGGCCCCCAACATCTACAAAAATACACTGAAAGCTTTCACGGGAAAAAAAAGTCACTTTATTATTAAATATTTGACAAGGTCTACCGTGAATAAAAAATGACAGGTGACTTCAGTCATGGTAAAAGCACCTTGTTCAGTGATAAACTCAGTGACAGATATTTGCAATAGCTGACTTAATCAATTGTAGATCAGCATGCAGAAAAAGCTAAAAGGTAAAAAAGGGGACTTAATTTTTGTGCAGGTTCGGGATTAGTTGGTTTATATTTATAATATGTACATGTGGCAGAAAAAGTTTTACGCTACTGTTTGGACAAAAAGGAAAATGCCGGGAACAATGCACAGCAAGGAAAAAAAAAAAAAAATTACTGCATCTGGGCAAACAAAACCATTTAGCCGAATGTTTTTTTTCACGGTCTGAACGAAAGATCTTCGTGTCCTCATCCTCTGCTTTTAGTCACGCAGCAATCCACAGATGCTATTTGGGATCATCTTTTTTCACCAAGGCCTTTTTCTGCTTTTCCTGCATTATCTGAGCATCCCTAGAGTAAATAGTTCAAAAAAAAAGAATGATAACTCCAGTTTCACGAAAAGACCTACATTCCACCCACCACCTCTCATCACTATCAAATTATAAGTTTGGACCAAGTGCCTCAGATGTAGACAAGGCAGCCTATGGCCCTAGTGTTTGAGGGCTTGTTCACACCATCTCCGGAGCAGAACAGTTTTTTTCAGCAACTGAAATGCATCCCAATGTATTCCTATAGTATTTCTGGGCTCTGTTCACACCAGTGTAGTTCCTTCTGGTGCAGAGAAACAAATATATACTGCATGCACTATTTTTTCTGCTCCTGAATGCACCAAAATGCATATAAATGAAAAAACACATGCAAATGCACTGGAATGCACTGAAAGCCCATTTTCAGTAAAAATAAAAAAAGGACAACACATTGCAACTCATCAAAAACACACTGCACTGTGTTTGCAGATCCTCTCCAGACAGGATGTGAACAAGCCCTAAAAGTTTGGTGTAAGTTTACATCCCAATGGTTAAATGCCCCCTGGGCACAGGAATGTACAGAAATGGCCATCTCCTGCACTTACAATAAACAAGGACAGAGATTACAGAGACAGGTTCTGTGTAGCCGCCTGCTAAATTCAATGACAAGCTGTGTCTGCTTGGACCTTAATGTACATTGTAGGGTTTACATGTGTCCCTAGATGGATGTAAACACTGGCATGCGTGTAAATATCAATGCAGCTGCAGCCTGTCATTCATTTTAAAAAGGTGGCTGCACGAAACACATGTGCCTCCACAGGCTTATCACTACGACACAATGTGCGGACACCTGCGCCCATGTGAATGAGCACCTATCGTGAACACATCATTCAAATACCTTTCCTTTCGTGCGGCAGCTGATAATCCATCATCTGCCTTCTTCCCCTTATCCTGAGTTTTCTTTAGATTCTTTGCTCGAGCAATCTCCCGCTGGTTTCCACCTGCACATTCATAAAACACATTATTACAAAGTGCTTACCAATAACTAACATTAAACATTTACCTTTTAAAACGGCTTTATCACAAACAAGTTATTAAAATGAAGGACAAAGTCCAGGAAAGTTGTAAATACTACATTGTAACACCTGAAATTGTTGGCTATTGTGTAACCCTGTGGCAGAGCAGGTCAGTCTCCTACATTTCATGGCGAAATAGTCTATAATGCAGGGGCTGAACTGTCATTACCAGTTTTGTTTTTGTAAATGAACGCCAAAAAAGGAGCACAACAGGGAGAATGGGCACTGCCCCCTTTTCTTATGGTTGGAAAGGACAACACCTCCGTTACAGAGAAGAGTAATCCAGCAAGTCAGCGGGTGCACACAGTATACAGCAAACAAAGGCCAATTAAAAAGGAGGCTCATTTTGTTCATACACATGAAAAAGGAAGTGCATTTCCACTTGCGTTGATGAGCTATACCAATCCAAAAGGTAGGAGGGAGGGAGCATTTCAATTAAACCTCTAGTCAGGTTAAAGCTGGGCAGTTAATAGGCACAATGTTCGGCTTGCATAATAGAGCACCTTAGCCCCAAATACACATCTTGAGGCTGGAGTTCTGTCCGACACTTCAGTGTTTATCCTGCCAGAAATCCAATGAGCTCTTAACTTCCTTTAGTGCACTGACAACGCTGCCTCTGATGTACTGCAATCCCAAACCGCGTTGTCAGCCCTGCTTGAATTTTCCCCTAATGGACCACAGGGCACCTCTCCCTCGTCTTCATAAAAGGTGCCCATACACTGCACGATTCTCGTACGAGAATTGCGGGAAATCCCACGATCGTACGAGAATCGTGCAGTGTATGGAAGGCGTGCGACCGTTTCTACTGTACGATCGCACGTCTTACGTCGAACAAGCAGGCTAGAAAACCTGCCGGGAATCGTACGATTCTCAGCGAGTTAGTGGCCTGCTGGTTCGACAACTGCCGAACGGGCCAGTGTGCGCAAGCGCACACAGCCCGTTTGCAGTCAACGTAAGCCCGCCCCTCATTGCAGTCATCGTGAGCCCGCCCCTCAGGGGGCGGGCTTGCGATGATCGCAAGTACGATCTGCATGTCCAAGGTGGGCAGATCGTACGTTTTTTAAGGTACTTTACAACCCTCGCAAGACAAAAGTCTTGCGAGGGTTGTAAAGTGTATGGGCACCTTGTGAGGGATGTGTTTTGTAATCCAGCAGGAAAGCAAGTCAGGTAAGGCTGACCTCTCTGCTTGGGATTTCCTGTAACAGCCAGATTCTTCTTGGCCACTTCTAGGTTTTAGCTCACAAGAGGGCTGGATCTGAAAAGACAGAGTTGTGCTCAATCAGCCTACTGCTTTAGCAAAAACTGCTTGCTTTAGCATGCGTGTGGGCTGTCGTGAATGATAACTGGGACAGATACCACCTTCCACCAGTGTTCACTCAACACTGCGCCTGCACTTTATTATCCACTCAAGCTGCAGTGTGGAACCGGCGGTCTGCCCATTGCATTCTCCAATCAGTTTTCTCTGCAGTGTTATGTAGAGCGCAGTCTGGGCAGGTCATTGGAGCAGACCCTGGGCTGGGGCAGAAGCAAACAAATCCCTACACACAATAGTACAGCATGTGTGCCCTTAGCCTTATTACATTTAAAAGTGTAACTCTAGGCATTTTTTTTTTCTTTAACTTTTGCATGTGGGGGAAAGTTTTGACCAGGGGCGGGCAAACTCTGGCCCTCCAGCTGTGTAATAACTACAAATCCCATCATGCATCTGTCTCTGGGAGGCATGGCTGTGGGAATCTCGCAATGCCTCATGGGATTTGTAATTCCACAGCAGCTGGAGGGCCGCAGTTTGTGCACCCCTGGTTTAGGCCCTCAAGTGCTATTGCTGTGTCCCCATTGGGGAGGCTCACCCCTCTATTTGTACTGGTGACCAGCGATACCGAGAAAAAGAAAGAGGGGAAATCCAACTGTTTACAGTTTCCCCCAGAATGAAAGGTGAAGGGAAATCTTCCAATGGGGACAAACTGTCTAAGAGGAGAATTCCCCTCGCTTTAGGAGATTTCCTCAAACTTCCTGTTGTGACTCTAGAATAGGAAGCGAAGGAAAACATGGGCACAGACAGCAAAATAATCTGAGTTTTCTCTAGGGAGGCACCGATATCACATTTTTAGACCGAAACAAAAAAAAAAAAAGTTATCAGGCTGAAACCAAAAATTACCTAATTTTGTATAAATTATTCTTATTTATTTTTTGCTTTAGCGTCGGGGAGCTTTGGGGAAATATTGGGAGTCTAATCAGACCCGTGATAATTCTCTTTTAAAATAGAAAAAGAAATTGGAGGACACAGAGTCCTCAATCTCTTTTTCTGCAGCACCGGTTATGAATGAAGAGGAATCTTCCATACTGAGTGTTCCTGTTCATTCATAACATGCGGCGACAGTATGAGTTACTAATTAATCCTCATGTCCCATCGCACTCCTGACCAGAAAATGCCTAATGCAACAGGGCGGGTGCAGCAGCGACAACGGATGCCTTCGCAAAGTATGGATAAATAGAAGTAGTCACTCGCACTCCAAAAGTAATAGTCAATTGACTGTGATGATACACATGTCCTAAGCAACGTTTCGGGACCATGTGGCCCCTTCCTCTGTTTGCCTGAGGAAGGGGCCACATGGTCCCGAAACGTTGCTTAGGACATGTGTATCATCACAGTCAATTGACTATTACTTTTGGAGTGCGAGTGACTACTTCTATTTATCCAGTATGAGTTACTATGTCCACAATCATGAATGAACAGGAAGTGATGTATAGCACTTCCTGTTCCTTTATGACTGGGGATACAGTAAACTTACAAGCACTGAATGATCAGTTCTAATCACTGAGTGCTTGTAACTGCTTTCTACCCTCGCTGCTCCGCCAGTCACAGGAGGCCGAGCTCTCCTCCCCACTGGGCACTGCTCTGTGTCCTTTCCGATCCCCACTGCAGACACAGGCGGGGGAGAGCAGCGGAATTTTCGGCCATTTTGATACTATCGGCATTTTACCCATAGTACCATTTTTGTCCAAAATGTTGGTGCATCCCTAGCTTTAACACTACCCTAACCGAAAAATACTTTGGGAGAGATATATGTGTACACACACACACACACACACACACACACACACACACACACACACACACACAACACACACACTTTAAGCTGCCCCCCACCTTTTCAAAGACAGTGGGTACAATAGACCCATGCCCCCTGCCAGCCAGAGCCCACATGAATTCCTGGCAGTGCTCAGTATGTGAGCGGCCCATTATCACCAGGGCGGTGCACCATCAGGTAGAGGGTGGAGCTACAGGCAAAGCATTTTTCATACTTGTAGAGGGAACCCATGTCAGCTTCTATTGCTGTCTGTGTGTCTGTTAGAGAGATTCACTCTCTCCAATTGTACCAAACACCAATGTCACCGGGAATTAACCCCTTCGTGACTGACGACGTACAGTGTACGTCGCCAGCATCAGGGCTGTTTAAACAGACTCCCGGCGACAAGGGGGAAATCAAATGTGTGGAGTTGCCACCAGAAAACAGGGGAACCGCCTAAGAGAGGAATTCCCTCACATTGGATAATCTCACTTCCTATCGAGTCTACAGGAATACACGCCCTCGGGTGTAGCAATATACACACTGGACCACATACATGACCCCAGGGCGTAATATATCATATATAAACTGGACCACATACACGGTGAGCCCAGGTGTAATAATGTAGCACATACATGAGCCCAGGTGTAATAATGCAGCACATACATGAGCCCAGGTGTAATAATGCAGCACATACATGAGCCCAGGTGTAATAATGTAGAACGTATATGTACAATGTGCCCCTCCTCACAGAGCTGGACATCACAGCCGCTCACCCTGTACAATGATCAGCACATAGGCCGCTCTGGTCTATACAGTGTAGGATTCTCCAGGTCATACCGCGCCATAACACTGAACCTCCATCCGCTCCTGGGACTCCCGGACCACTCTGACGTGGCACAAGTCAGGCCGCAGCCCCGGGCCTACACAGCGGCACCCCACAGCCCAGCTACTCCTCCGTACAGCGCCCGGGCCATCTCCGGGCTCCTGGCACCCTCCATGCCCTTTCATACTCACGAGTCATCGCTCTGTTCGCCCGTCACTCGCCCTCCGCTCCGACAACAACTTCCTCCTCAGTCCGGCGACTCGCCGTCTGCAGACAGCTGACTGGTTGTTAAATATCACATGGCTCGCAGCGACAACACCAACTTGTACGGCGTACTACTCTGTGGCCACGCCCACATCGGGCGGAGCGTGGCTTTCGTGTCATACTAGCCAATAGAATCTGCAGTCGCCTGTCTCGGTCACCTGGTTATTACCAGGACTTCTATGGTTAAACCGCGAGGAATTGTGGGAAGTTTGTGTCGTCACCTAGGATTAGGAGGATGGCTTGAGCCGTGACGCATGTGTTCGTTGTTATAACGGTCGATAATTTCAGTCAAGTGAAAGTTTCGGTTCGTTATTATTTTTTGCTGAGAAGGAATACACGCTAGAGTTGTTTCTGATAATGCAATCAAGGCTTACTTTAAAACTCCTTTTATGTAGTGAGTGCTGCCTTCTGTCTGCCCATCTCTTTCAATCTCAGTTACTCAGGACTAGTGACATTCGGTTCGAACTTTCGAACATGGAAAAAGTTTGAACTCAATGCAAGTCTGTGGGGGTAGAAGATTGAAAATCATTTGACCCCATTTTGAACTCTTATATGCAAGTTATAGGCCATAAAAGGTGTATTGGGATCCGGGTACTGCCCTGGGGGACAGAAATCAATGAAAAAAAACACTTTAAAAATACAGTTTTTAAAGGAGCAGTGATTTTAACATCACGTAAAGGGTAAGAATAACAATTAAAAATTCCTTTAACTATCGTGGCTAAGGTGTCCGCTTCAGCTGCCTGTAAAGTGACGCATTTGTATGATGTATAGAACCTTCTGCAACAAAACTGACATTCTAAAGAAAAAAAAATGATTTTTTTTTTTTTAAAAGCATGCAGTTCCCCTTCCCAAACAATACCAGACCGGGTAAGTCTGGAAAGGAGGGACCCCATTTAAAAAAAAAAAAAGCGTGGGGTTCCTCCCAAAAGTCATACCAGACCTTTAAGGTCTGGTAGGAATATGTAGGAGGGAGCCCATGTAAAAAAAAAAGTGTGGGGGGTTCCCACTCAAAGTCATTCCAGGTCCTTAAGGTCTGGTAGGAATTTTAAGGAGGAATCCCCCCCCCAAAAATGGGGGGGGGGGGACAGGGGACCCCCCTAAAATTCCATACCCGACCATTGATCCGAGTACAGGCCTGGCTGGGCCAGAAAGAGGGGGGACGAGTGAGCAGCCCCCCTCCCATACCAGGCCACATGCCCTCAACACTGGGAGGGTGCTTTTTCAGGGTCGCCCCTGGAAAAGCACCTTGACCCTGTGCCGATGGGGACAAGGGCCTATTTCCCACAAGCCCTGAGGCGCTGGATGTGGGGGGTGCGAGTAGGGGCTTTTTCACATCAGGGTACCCCAGATGCGCCCCCCCTTGTGAATGAGTACCTCTACCCATTCACTAAAAGGATAAAAATAGATTAAATAAAAACATTATCAAAAATCCTTTATTTGAAGAAAAAAAAACAACAAAGGATTTTTGACAAGTCCTTTATTTAAAAAAAAAAAAATTGATCCACCGATGTAATCCAGGATCAATCATGACGCCCAGTGTTGCCCACGACGACGAAGATTTGCTGAAATAAAACAATAAAAAATAAATAGAAATATTTTTATTTTTTTTAAACGACGACCGCCGTCCCGTCCGCTGCAACGAACACCCGCCACGAATGGCATTTTGACAGATGGCGGCAAATTAAAAGCAATTAGGCGGAGCTAGCAGTGACAGTTAAGGCCCAGCTTAGACCATGAGCTTATAGCAGAAGGGTGAAAGCCACCGACCTATGGCTTACTGAGGTGGCCAGCTGGAAACAGTTGTGTTCTGCCGTATGCCTTATGTCGTTGGCATGGGGAGGGTTAAAGCCCATCAGCAGTTTTTTAAAAATAAAATTGTCCCCTTCACTCTCCTATGTATATATAAGTTTTCCAAGCAGTACGCCCTCTCTGCACTCAAGCCCTGCCCAATGTATTCTCCTCTGCGGTCCAGTTAAATCATACCTGGTATCATAAAACCCACTTCCTGTGGGCCCTGGACATAAAGGACTTCACCCCAGGGGCATGTGATCTAGCCACGTTGGACTTACAGGAGAATTCTGCAAAGAGCGCGCCATGTCATTTCATGGGAAAATGAGGGTCTTCACCAGCACACCTCGGTATGGTGATAATCTTGTCCTTTATTCACATAACCCAACATGCATAACAAGCTGACATTTCAGGACCTCACAGGATCACTTCCTCAAAGCAGATCTTATTGAGCTGCCTTTGTGATGCCTTTTGCTTTATGTTAAAAAGGACACATCACCATACTGAAGATCCTTATTTTCCTATGACTGTATGGTGGCTCCATCCACCAATTCTGTCCAGCCAGCATGAACTGTGGACAAGCCCATGGGGTGTGCAACCTATACAACTATGTCAGTACATGGCACCATTCTCTGAAGCATTCAGGACCCACCCATTGCCGGAGGATGAAGAGGACAGACTCATACTGTCATGTGTCCGGAGCAAAGGCCTAAACAAAAAGGTATTGCATACACATTTACAGCACAGGTTGTGGTGAGTGGCAGGCACACATATGAGGAATAATGCAGACAAGACGAAGCAGGAGACAAACAACTAACGGGTGGACTCGGTGAAGGAGATCTTTATATTTTGAGTTTGAAGATACTGGAGCTCCGCTGGACTCTTTGTGCGTCTGTGGCTCCGCCGTATGATATTTTCTGGGGGTGACGAGAGTTGGTCCTGTCCCCCTTGAGCTAGGTCTCTTCATGATTCTTGATCCCTAGATTAACCCCCTGAGGAAGCCTACGAGCGAAACACGTAGGGCATTAATGGAGCGGTACAACACTGCATATGAAACATAATGAATTATAGTTATGCACAGTATGAAATGAATTATGTATGAAATGTGAAAACAAGTAATAAGCTTAGGGACATAAAAATCATGTATGTATATATGAGCACTGTTTTTAACTTTTATTATGGATTTTTTTTTTATGAATTTCAATAAATTTCTACGATTTTCAAATCATCTGAGTCCTCTCTAAAAAAAACCACCACAACCTGTGTTGTAAATGTGTATGCAATTGATTAGATTGGGGTGAGGTCTCAGACTACCTGGGTGGGTACTTTGGGAAGTGCTATTTTTGGAGTGATAGACAATAAGGTATGCATCCAGATTAGGGGCTTTCACCAGGGTGAGGAAATTCCTAAAGAATGGCTACAGACTATTTTCATAGCAAACCCCAAAACACCCACAAAATGTGAGGAGCATCAGACAATAGCTCTGATACCACATACAATAAAAGTTTTATCAGAAGTATTTTACAACTGCATGAGTTCAAAACTCCAAGACAAGATCAACCCACTGCAATACAGCTTCTGGCCCAAAGTTGGCACCATCAGGAGCATCACCGCACTTAAAACCCTGTGAGCAAATCGAATCAGCAAGCAACAAGAACCATATCTCTGCTTCACTGACTTTGTCAAGGCGTTTGATCAAGTCAAGCATGACATCTACACAGGGCCGGTGCTAGGATTGTAGTCAAGGTGGGCAAGGCTTGCGCTTGCACCGGGCCTGCATCCACAGAGGAACACTCTTGAAAACGGGTGTATGTGAAAAAGATGCTCTGAAAACTCATCTGTTCAGGGAAGGCTATCCCACCTTGACATAATAACTGTCCTTTTACTTCTTTCACTAACTTAATCTAAACAATTAGAGTACGAGTACTCGCCCAAATACTCGTCATCGGCAGCGATACCGATACTAGTATCGGTGCATCCCTAGTTAACAGCATTTTGTAAACCAGATGGAATGGGGATGCTGGCTGACATCTTTACCCAAATATGGAAATGGCCATATATGGGCAATGATGTCAGCCAGAATTCACACGCCTTTGTTTACAATCAGATCTCGGCCGAGGAATCTCCTGTCTGGCAGCTGAACTGCATCAGGGTACATTATTGGTTGCTAGGACAATGTAGGTTGCACAGCCAACAGCCTCCTAACAACAAATTAAGTGACTGAATTTGGCGGATCCTAAGGAATCTGCCTACTGCCATCCACTATCAATCCCCATCAGCCTCCGCCTTTGCAATCCAGCTTCCTGTGCCTGGCATAAATCAGGTGAGCTGTCTTTATTAGGGATGTCCCTATACCGATGCTAGCATCGGAATCGTGCCCGATACAGGGCATTTTGACAAGTACTTGTACTTGTCAAAATGCCCTGAAGCCTAGCGCCGAAGCAATGCACTGAACAATAGATTTACAATTATCGCACCGTGTGAGGCAACAGGGATCAGAGTGAAACTGTGAGTAAGGGAAGCTGGGACGGGGCTGGCTGTAAATCTATTGCTATAGTGTACTGGACGTGTGTAATGTATATGTAGTGCATATATACAGCACACACCTCCACTACACTCCAGCAATAGAGTTACAATTCTCCCCTGCTAACATGAATAGGTTAAACCATGATCCATAGTACATAACATGTAGTTGTACTATGGATCATTTAAAGTCACCTGTCCCTTTAAGAAAAAGTATTGGTAATTGGTATCGGCAAGTACATGAGGGGATGTACTTGTACTTGGGCCTGAAAAAGTGGCATCGGGACATCCCTAGTCTTTATAATTGCCTACATTTTGTGATTATTTGCAGAATAATCCCTGAACCACCCTATCACAATTTGAGCCCGATGAATCCTGGCATTGTCATCTTGGAATATACCCAATGTGCCATCAGGGAAGAAAAAATCCATTGATGGGAAAACCTGACCATTCAGTATATCCAGGTAGGCAGCAGACCTCATTTTTGGGGGACATAACATTGCTGAACCCAGACCTGACCAACTGAAGCAACCCCAGATCATAACACTGCCCGAAATCCAGATGGGGCCTTTTGGTTTTTAGCTAGGCAGTATATCTATATGTATTAATGTGGTAAATGTGAAGTATTACATATGTATGTTATGTAGTCTTCTATGCAGCCAGATGATGGAGCTGTTGACTGCTTTTTGTATTTTCAGCTTTGTGGAAAGAAGTCCATTGTTTA